AGGACTGAGGAATATGAGGAAGACTGAGGAGGAGGAGGAAGAGGAGAAGGACTGAGGAGGAAGACTGAGGAGGAGGAGGAGGACTGAGGAGGAGGAGGAGGAGGACTGAGAAGGAGGAGGACTGAGGAGGAGGAGGACTGAGGAGGAGGAGGAGGAGGAGGAGGAGGAGGAGGAGTGAATAGGAGGAGGAGGGGGACTGGGCAGGACTGAGGAGGAGGACTGAGGAAAAGGATGAGGAGGAGGACTAAGAAGGAGGACTGAGCTGAGGAAGAGAACTGAGGACTGAGGAGGAAGAGGAGGAGGATGAAGAGGAGGTGGACCCAAGAGGAGGAGGTCCCAGGAGGAGGACCCAGGAGGAGGACTCAGGAGGAGGAGGAGGATGACTGAGGAAGACTGAGGAGGAGGAGGAAGCATCTAAATATTATTTCCATTTTTGTTATTTTTTGTCCATTTTTGTCTGTTTTTGTCCGCTCTATTTTTTGTCCGTTTTGATAATATAGGGTTCCGAACGGAAAAAACGGATAAAAAACAGGATCCCCCCTGGAGGAGGAGGAGGAGAAGGATGACTGAGGAGGAGGACTGAGGAGGACTGAGGAGGAGGACTGAGGAGGACTGAGAAGGAGGAGGACTGAGGAGTACTGAGGAGGATCGCTGAAGAGGATGGCTGAGGAGGATGGCTGAGGAGGATGACTGAGGAGGATGACTGAGAGGGAGGAGGAGGAGGACTGAGAAGGAGGAGGAGAAAGAGGACCCAGGAGGAGGACTCAGAAGGAGGAATGAGGAGGACTCAGAAGGAGGAATGAGAAGGAGGAGAAGTGAGGAGGAGGAGGAGGAGGACTGAATAGGAGGAGGAGGGGGACTGGGGGAGGACTGAGGAGGAGGAGTACTGACGAAAAGGATGAGGAGGAGGACTGAGGAGAAGGACTGAGGACTGAGGAGGAAGAGGAGGAGGATGAAGAGGAGGAGGAGGACCCAGGAGGAGGAGGACTGAGGAGGATGATGAGGACTGCAGAGGAGGAGGACTGAGGAGGACTGAGGAGGACTGAGGAGGATGGCTGAGGAGGATGGCTGAGGAGGAGGAGGAGAAGGTGGAAGAGGAGGAGGAGGAGGAGGAGGAGGAGGAGGAGGAGGAGGAGGAGGAGGAGGAGGAGGAGGAGGAGGAGGAAGCATCTAAATGTTATTTCAATTTTTGTTATTTTTTGTCCGTTTTTGTCCGTTTTTGTCCGTTTTTGTCCGCTTTATTTTTTGTCCGTTTTGAAAATATAGCTGCCAAACGGACAAAAACGGACAAAAAAACATGATCCCCCCCCCCCCCCCCCTTAGTAACCGGTTAACAGTCAACACCACTTCCAATTATTAATTTTGATTAGATCTTTGATACACGTTACACGTATTAGTAATAGGGTAATATGATTAACGTCAATTTGAAGATCAAATATCCATCTTTGGAGACACGTCATACTACACGAGCTTGTTAATGAAACACACAAAATTTGTAGTTTATATTTGCTACCAACTTAAATCATTTGTTATACGGTCGTGTTGCTATTAATAATTACGTTTGTATCAACGTTTCCTAACTCAAGTTACGATTAAATTTGGTATTTAAATGTACTTTATGGTTTATTTTATTGGTTTAGTTGACTTAACTACGCGGAGTCCAAAACCCCGTGCTCGTAAGGACCACGTAAACCGCGAACTACAATTTGTTAATAAATTGAATAAAGTTATATAATTGAATAGTTTGATGCAGCTGAATCTAAATACTTCATATTCTTGACCAGTTTTAATATAAGTATTAAATTATATATTTAATACTTATACAAGTGTTGATTTAAGTATTAATTATGTAGTTCAATCTCAGTAGGAGTGGAACTCAATAACATACCGTCACATACGTATTGATTTGTAAATGCTACTATATTATATATAACTTTAATAGTCTATACGATGCGTTACGCGTATAAAGTATAAACCATGTGGCGGCCATCTGGTTATTTAGCTGCAATAAAATTGGTACAGACTCCTTGAGTTGCTCTACATTGAGGTATTATATTTCTCATTATGTCTATGATGAGAACAAGTCTTCCAGAAATATTCCATTTATTATAATATGTACGATGTGCTAGTAGTAGTACGCGTAGTCATGCTGCGTAGTCATGGCTTCTGCACCTAGTTAGCAATCACAGATTCATAAACGCATGGTACAGACGTCTTAAGTTTGCTTCATATTCTGCTATTTTATTTATAATTAAAATTGTCTATACTTCGATTGTTTAGTGATACCACTTTCACATCTGGTGAAGTATTATAGTTACCACCTGCTTACTGGTTATTCAAAGTTGGTGATGGTTGCGAGCAACTTGAGCTGTTCAGAACAAATCCATAAATTCTTTTGTCCATCCTCGGACCATAGAGCATGCTCCGCTTGTTCTCAGATCTCGATAGCAATCTGTTCAGTCCGAATAGAGTTGGACTTGCCCTTTCATCACCATTCTAATGAATCGTTTATGATGGAAGCTCGCGATCACCTATCTTCACTACAATATCACTTATATCAAATAAAGAAATACCTTTAGAATTCAAAGCGTGCCAAGCATCGATTTCGATTTTCGACCAATCTGAAGTTCCAGATGAATTGCTTTTTTAACGGTAAGAACATATGCTTATGGTCAGGGACTGTTCAGAACATACTACGAATTATAGAACTTATTTTTATCTTCGTTTAAAAATAAGATTTTCTGGAATGCCTTTTTGAATGGGGTTATATTTTTTTCCAAAAATGTTTCAACAATTTTTATATTGAGGAAAAAAATGAGACAGCCGTATGCAGATAAAATCATCAAAGTTCAAACTATATGAGCATAGTTAGAGATCCCACTCTCAAACCTTTATGTGACATTTCTCAATTCTCTATAAACCAATTTATCTTTAATGATGTTAACCCTAATTGTATTCCATTATAATATCGTTAAATTACAATTTGAACACAAACCCGTGAATTTCCTTTGATGTATGATAACTGCGCGAATGATGTATCAGAAACTATTTGGCGGGTTGTTATTACAAGATATAATTCTCAACAGAACACTCTCGTTACTGCCAGTAATTGTTTTCTCCGACGACTTAATTCAGCACAATTAAGGGCTTAGTGCACTTAACTGTTACTAAAGTTTCTTAGTTCCTTCTTTTTCATTAACATAACGATTTGTTGGCAGCCCCTACCAACTAGTTTTATTTGTATATTCATCCAGCCCGAACAAGCTTAAATCTCATTTTAATGCAACGTCCATTTACGTTACATTGGTGTATTTTTGAAGGGGTATTTCTAGCCATACCAACTAGACTTCATAAGTGAACACTTATGCAGATAATACAAAGCCAAAGCAGTTATAACACTAACAAATTGGTGGGTGGCATTCTCTGTTGTAAGAAACCATTTAGTTTTTGTACCAAATTGTCAAGATAAGAGGGATATGAATACTTTCAATATTTCATTTCATTTGTCAGGGCGCAAGCTATCACGTGCTCTATGCTAATCATTAAAACTTATGTCGTGTCGTGGGGCCTACTCTCATCTCCTCAGCAATCACTAAATCACATTGATATATTGCCCCAACATGTTCATGTGCGGTATGATCTACCATTTCAACATGTATGATACATGGTCTCAATGTCATCTCTTTTTGTTATTAAGAAGTTCAGACGTGAAATTATATTTCGCCAATACTCCTCGTGCAATATATCAGTGGTCTGGGTTCACTATGAAAAGTTTCAGGCATATTTTCTTAGGTTTATTGAAGTTGTCCCGGATAGTGTTTCCAGGTTCACAGCTTACAAACATTTGATAAATCTCTCTTCTAGGGATCGACAATAACCATAATGAGATAAAAATGCATAATTCAGAGATAAGCCGCATATCATAAATTTAAAACAAAAATGTATTCAAAGTTTTCTCATTTTCTCTGTATGTTACTGCAGTCCCCTCTACTAAACATTCATATTATGATAATTATCATCTTTTAAAAATCTGGCATTGTAACTACTTCCCTTCAAAGCACCTTAACCTTACTACTTTACTAGCAAACCAACCGATTATAAATAAAAGAAATAGTCGCTACCCCACAAGATAAGAAGTTGGTAAGATTGCGGGTAACCAATCATGCAGCCTAAAGGTATTGATTTTTGTCAGCAAAAGTTAACAATTTTACTTCATAACGATGCAAAGTCGCGATGGCAATTGAAACTTTTAACTGCTTCCCTGCAAAGCACCTTAAACTAGCAGACCAACCAATTACAAACAATTGAGCTTCGTCTCAACCACATAAGTATTTGTTGTATTCGATAACCGGTAAAATTTGCTAACTCAACAAGAACAACTGGTGGTGGAGTCACTTCACCACAAGTCAAAGCTTCATAAGATTGAGGGTTGAGAAGATGAGGGTAACCAATCATGGTAACCAATCATGGTAACTAATCATGGTAACCAATCATGGTAACCAATCATGGTTACAAATCATGGTTACCAATCATAGCTACCAATCATGGTTACCAATCATGGTTACCAATCATGGTTACCAATCATGGTTACCAATCATGGTTACCAATCATGGTAACCATTGAACCCTAAAGATATTGCACCCTAAGGATATTGATTCTTGTCTGCAAAAGTTACCATTTCTCCCGGTAGGTTATTTGATAAGTGATTAATTAACTTTCTCTCCCCCAACCCTCGTACAGAAGAATCGTTTATAGGTGGTTAAGTGTAACAACCAATGAATAGTCATCCTCGCTGGGGGATCATTCACGCGTCGTATTCGTATAAATATTGCTCATTTTAAGTTGGGTACCATAAATGAAGCAACTTTTTTCCGTGAGGTTTTTATTTGAGAATTTTTTTGTTCAACGTAGAGTGTTGAAGATAGCAATTTTCTGTCGTAATATTTACTTAAAAAATGATTTCTTGCAAACATGAGATTAACGATTGATTTGAGTCTTACCTGACTGTCTTCGTTGTGTTCACAAGGAATCATGACTTGGTCTCCGTGTTCGCAAGAGATGTGGTTTGACGGGATGTTAGCGTACGGCATCTCTGAAAATAATTGTTATCAAATCCAGAAAGATGATGCTACAATTTTATATTGTCAAGATTGCTAGTCGCTAAACAGTTTTATTGGATCGTAGAGTTATGATTTGAATCTGAGGAAAACCGCCATATTACTTTAATTTCGATATTCTAAGAAAATCCGTCACTTTCATTAAATGATTTCCGATTGGCTTGTAAAGTAACACACATTTTTCGCATAGTTTTGATTCTGAGAAATAAAAGTTATAGAAGATTTCTGGCCGCTCGCATTAAATTACATTCATTTAATACTTTTATTAATACTTAGGGGCCAAAGAATCTGGCTGGCCTGTAAAGTTACACAACTTTTATTTTATTTAGATTCTCAGAAAGTCAGGTTATAAATAGAACTTTCATTTCAAGATTTCCGGTAATATGATTGGCATGTAAACTCGCACTTCTGACGACATCGCACTATCGTTAATTAATGTAATAATTGTCGACTTCACGCTTGATGTTTTGATACATTAAATTTGAATCTACACGAATTAACGATAATATTAATCTTCCCGAATATTGCTTTGATTTCTCTTTAACCGTTGCTCAATATCCTTATGTAAGATGATATTTTAGACGTGATGACGTGTGCTCGTTGTACCGCTGCTTGAATGAGCATCAAATATTTCACATGACCATGTATTATCTCTATTGTATGAGGCCTGTCTAACATAATGATTGCTGATTTTAAGTAGGCATAAGTGAAGCTCAGGATAATAGCGCCGCCCAGTAGGTCTAACATAATAATATGATGATCATGACGTACTTATCATCCAACAGAGGATTATGCTATAGATAAAATATCGTTCAACCTGAACGATAACAAAGAAGTTAACATAACTTCTTTGTTTCCATAACGAGAGGGAGCGTTTATACTTATAGATCTTTTTATAGAATATCACATACAGCCAGTTTCGAAGTGGATAATATGTACTAGTATGTACAAGTGTATACAATTGTAGAGCTCTGTGTGCTTGAATCTCTTTATTATTTTCAAGCTTCGACATTTATAATGCAGGGTATAAATACCCATTTATTTCGCTGTTGTCCAAAAAAGTTACTATAAACGTTTAAATATTGGTAAATACTTGTTTGACACATTTTTAGTTTTTACTTCAAATTTGCCGAAATCACGTATAATTAAGTATTTATTATTTAATATCCATGAATATTGGGGAAATTGGTAGATCACCGACCGGCTATAAGCCGGTTATAAGCCGGCTATAAACCGGCTTATAGCCGGCTACAATTTTTATAGCCGGCTATAAGCCGGCTTATAGCCGGTTAGTAGCCGCTTACATTTGTTGTTGAGCGACGGCTTTTAGCCGGTTATAAGCCGGCTATTAGCCGTTTAGGTATCGGCTATAAGAAATTCAGTGAAAACGGCTATTAGCCGGTTATAAGCCGGCTATTAGCCGTTTAGGTATCGAAAGTGGTTATAAGCCGGCTATAAGCCGGCTATAAGATATTAACTTAACTTCATCGTACTGAACTGAGTTAATATCTTATAACCGGCTTATAGCCGGCTTATAACCACTTTCGATACCTAAACGGCTAATAGCCGGCTTATAACCGGCTAATAGCCGTTTTCACTGAATTTCTTATAGCCGGCTCCTGACTATCGTTCAGTACGATGTAGTTGAGTTAATATCTTATAACCGGCTTATAGCCGGCTTATAACCACTTTTAATACCAAAACGGCTAATAGCAGGCTTATAACCGGCTAATAGCCGTCGCTCAACAACAAATGTAAGCGGCTACTAACCGGCTATAAAAATTGTAGCCGGTTAGTAGCCGGCTTATAGCTGGTCGGTGATCTACCAACTGTATGTGGTCTCACAATTCAACAGCAGTGCAGCTCTGTTTAACTAACTCAACTTATCCATTCTTGGTAAACCGTTCCTTAAATTCCTATCGAAGTTATCTGTGCCTTCTTGGGTGGTTAGCGATTTATTTATAGACCCAGAAAACCATACCTTACAAGTTTTCAGGTCCTAATTGTATGTGATGGCATGATTTATGAAACAGAAGACTTATAAAAACTGTTATCGTCCCCGAGTTAGCGTGGCTGATATTTACCCTTAGTATTTAACTTCATATTTATGTTTTCTTGAAATGTTCCTTCCTCAATCGCCAACCATACTTTACCGTCGCGACGGCACCGTTTTATATTACTGCTTTACGCGTTTTAAAGCATTTTGTTATTTACTACCTTTCCACTACATACGAATTCTAAAATATACGCCTTTTTTAAACAGCCAAAAGCGATTTTTGAGACTGTAAATGCTATCTTTTCTTTTTTCAAAAAATCTATACTCGCTGGTTCGCTGAAACTTTATAACAGGTTTTACAAAAGCATGAATCTCCGCCCTCATGTAGGACCCGTAGAAGCCATGGCAGGTGCCAATTATTCGGACTTAGAGGGGGAGTTTGAGTCGGACCCTAAAGCTGTCTACATGCTCGCTGGACTCCTGGCCCTCAATTGCTTCCTCAGTGTTTTCGGTGGGTTTGAGTTTAGATAACGATAAGTGTGGTGTTAATTTTCATATTAATCACCAATTAACTATTACTATTATTAATTGCGTATATCTATCTCTGTCTTATCAGTTATCTCTGACTCAGCTATGTCTTATTCGTGTCTAATGTTTTACCTCCGCAGGTAATGCCCTAATACTCTACACATTTATCCGAGAAAAGCCGTTAGGACCACCGTTAAGGACCATTCTGTGCCATCTGGCCGTTACTAATCTAGTAATAGCGGGTATTGGGGAACCGATGGTGGTTATTTCGGGATTCAATCGTAAGTAGTGTTAGAATTAACAGTGTTATTGAGAATTTTTCAGTTATTTAGAATATATATTCGCATGTATCCACACTATATTTACATTACACGTTCAACGTGATATCGTTATCATCACATATAGACAGCATGAGAGTAGGCCTGGCCATCTCGAAGTGGTTATTGAGAATGGCTGAAGAAACTGTTAACACAACTGCATTCAAACAGCATGGTGACATTACTGTGACATTTGATACAGTATTAAACAATTACCAATCCAGTTTTTAAAAATAATTAAGACGTCCTATCAAGACAGAATAAGACAATTTACAGACAGAATCGAATAATTTTGTGTGTTATTATTATTAATACAGCACTATGGAGGAAGATTTTTAAACATAATTGAATAATTTGTCTCATAATTGAATAATTTGTCTCTGCAGTGAAGTGGGTGTTCGGGGAGATGGGACGTAAGATTGAAGCCTACACTGTAACAGCTAGTGGTCTCATGGCTATGAGCTTACTTGCCTTCGTCTCCATCGAGAGATACCTCAGGTTTCATTATTTTTGTTATTTGTTAACTTATTGCTTTTTTCTCTGAATATTACGGGCTATTTTATTTTATGTATAGCCAAATTTATGGGCTTTTGCGTTTGGGGAAACGTTTTTCATCAAGGTTTCTATCTTATCCGAGAAACTAATCCGAGGATTGACATTGAATGTCAGTATTAATTTTCCTACAATATTGCAATACAAAATAGTATATTCTCCAGAGAAACACGGGCTAATAGCCTTTATGACATCATCTTAAGGCTCAATCGATGTGATATGGTTGAAGGATTAGAGGGTGAATTGTCTAGTCAGATTTTAAAAGCCTCTTATTTCAACTGAAGGGTCGAGACAAATAGTACCGTTATAAGAGTTGGTGATTGTCTCGACTGTAATACAGCAACAATAAGAGAACATTACCCAAGAGCATGTTAGAGTCTCGCAGATTTTCGCTTTTCCTAGCAATTTAGCAAGTCTCGGTGCTTTGCAGTTTACAGACATGCCTTGATGATGTCATAAAAGCGTTCAATTAGCAATACGGTTAGTCAGTGAAATTGCAGGGCAAATGTCGAGACATACGCCCTCGCAGATGTCATAAACGCTTTAAAATTTTACATGAAATGGTATATTTGATGCGGTTAGCAGGTTACAAGTTTAAATTGTGCATCCGAATTCTTAAAAGTTTTAATTTTTGATCAGTCATTTTTAAATGATAACCGGAGCACTTTAAAGGGATACTACTATTGGTTATTCGTTCCTTTAAATATCGAATAAATTAATCAGGAGCCTGCATTTTGAATTTAAAATGGAGATAACTATATATTGGTGAACTGTCAGTTTTGAGTAGCACCTAGTTAACTTTAAGTGACGCCACTTAAAGTTGACTAAGTGCTGGTAAAATAGCAAACATTTAAAGGGCAGAACATTTGGTAATAATTCAAAGGAAATAGTTAACAAATCGGTCATTGTCTGGTTACAAAACGCCTCGTCGTCCAATATTGTTGTCAAATTTTAAAAGCCTCGTTATGCAATCATCAAAAGGAAGACAAATCACAATTCCGCTTATTAACTACCTATATATTAAATATTTCTGGTTACAGCTTAAACCAGAAACGACATTTTGATAAAGTTTTTCAACAAAAACTTTCAGGATAACCCAAGTTTAAATTTTAGCACCACTCTATTTCAATGATTAACTCTAAAATCTCTCATACCAAAATTTTATCGATTTCCGTTTCAGGGTGACGCCAGGTCAAAGATTTAGAATAACGGAAGCAACCAGTGTCCGGTTCTGCACTATCATGTGGACCTATAACATAGTGTACGCCTCATTGCCCTTTTATGGGATTGCAGCGTGGAGAGGGGAGGGTAAGTTAGTTGCATTATTAAAACTTTAAAAGATAACAATCGCAAAATATGCCAAACAAAGGACCTTGATACAATGCAGGGTTGCTGGGAGAGGGGGGGGGCTGTACAATTATACTCTTTTTGAGAGAGCAATATATTGAGAGCTGAGGAGATAATGTTAGCTTTGCGACACCCAAATAAATAAGGTTTCGCCCCAAAATGTATGATCACAATATACAATATTGTAAGTGGTTATTAATATATAATAATATCTATTAGCGAAGTGCTGGCCTATTCATGCTTTCTAGTGTAGACTTCTCCGTTCAACATGTCTCATAGTAAATATACTCTTCCATTCTAGTCTATCCCTTGCTAAGTTCACTAAGTTCGTAAAATCGCATTGTAAGTGGTAACCTGTTGAGATTTGAGGGTCTCGTTCAAAATAAACATTGTAATAACTAATCCTACAATTTCACAATCGAACAATTTCACAATCGAACAATTTCACAATTTCACAGTTTCATAATTTCACAGTTTCACAACTCAGGTATTGGAATATCTAACTCATTATCCTGGAATACGGATAACACAAGCGATGTTGTGTACGTGATGATCATGATGGCCACGGGATACTTCATTCCTCTTCTTATTATTACTTTCTGTTATAACAGGTTTGTTTTCCTCTTCTTATTATTACTTTCTGTTATAACAGGTTTGTTTTCTATTTCACTTTTTGAAAATGATACGTCCTAAAAGTTTCCTTTGAAGATGATACCTTTTTATAGTTACACATTGGTTTTTTGTTGTTGTTTTTGTTGTTGTTTTTGTTGTTGTTTTTGTTGTTATTTTTGTTGTTGTTTTTTGTTGTTTTTTTGTTGTTTTTTGTTGCTGTTTTTTGTTTTTGTTATTTGTTATTGTTTTTCTCCAGAAACTGACATTATTTTAAAACATTAACACCCCTACTTTACAGAATTCTACATTTTGTGAAGCAGGCAGTAGATGTATACGAAGAACACGATAAGGTTGGAATCAACATACCAGTGAGTTACTATTTTTCATGCTTCGGTTTCTCTTTTTAAAAATTGTAATGTGTATTGTGTACCAAACTATTATTCATGTTTTGACCATAGGACAACTATTAAAGTTAATTCTGTCGAATATCAGGTTACTTAGAGACCGTAAGGCTGTTGGAGTTAACAGTAAAAAAGTAAGAATATAAATTAAAAGATAACAATCATTCGATTTCAGCCGGAGGGAATGACTATGGAAACCCAAATGTCAAAGACTAACGCCAGTCAAACGGGTATAGGAACTGCTTCAGGAAATGAATCATCGCTCATAAACGCTAATGGTATGTGACAGCTGGTTACCTGGTGACCTGTTACCTGGTTACCTGTTAGATAATAGCTAAGAAGGAGTCAGTTAAGAATGAGATAAGAGACAGGCTAGTCTGAGACAGGAGAATCTGAGTATAATTCCACGATAAAATCAGAGTGATAAGCAGTTGAATTTACTGCTATTGTAGAAAAGTAATTTCTACTTCGTTCTGTTGTTGGTTTTTGACTTTCGCAAATTTCCAGAAGAAGCCTCCCGCGGCAGAGATAACTCCAAAGCACCGCAGACCTCCAATGTAGAATCCACCGAGGGTGGGGGTGGAACCAGTGCAGTTGGAGGAGGAGGAGGGATCTCTAAGACGTCTAACAGTGCGGATCCTAACGATGAACCCAGGAGTCGGATTAAGGTACATAACAGTGGATATTCCATAATTTCAGTTTAAGTAGAAGACTTGAGAAAGCCGCTAACTTCTGCATGAATTTTGGTTCAAAAAAATGTCTCGTTCAGAAACAATCATTGTTGCATTGCAGAAAATCACAGCAATATTTTAATCACTAATCCTGGAGCAGGGCGATGGCTACCAAATCCTTAGCCAAGAAAGCACGAAGGATAAAAAATCAACCATCAGGGTAACCATCTTCGCATGTGTAGTGATGTAATGTGCACGCTTGCGAAATTGCAAACTTGTAAACTTGTAGACTTGAAAACTTGTAAACGTGTAGACTTGAAAACTTGAAAAGTTGTGAACTTGTAAACATGAAAATGGATTTAGTTATTAGTATTACTAATATATTCTGACCTAATAAAGTCTTCAAGTGCAATCGCTTGTATTTCACTGAAACCATTCTTCTCGATTTAATGCTTGCTGGGTATTTGGCATCTAAAATCGAATTATAGTCTATATTATAATCTACATGATTCAAAATCAATTGTCTCTGACCTCCACTGATCGAAACAAAAAGATCTATTTGGTAGGAAATCTGAAAAGAACCAACAATTCTATTTGACCAACCTCTGTTGAACTAAAGGCATACAAATCATGACTCTAAAGTCTAAAGTCATGATAGCCAAGTAGCGCTGAATCTATCAAGCCCCTTTAAACTTTAGGCTTGAAAGTTTAAAGCCGCTTATATTTAATATTTAGCTCTGCAACTGTGTAAACAAACATTGCATTGGTCACATGATGGCAGTCTGTGACTAGCTGCTGCATCTAATCATTAAAAAATACTTGCTGGTCTTATTCTTCAGCTAGTAAGTCTAGTATAGACATTTAATTCAGTAATAATATAGATATGATTAGATCATGAAGTTGTTGTTGTTGTTATTGATAATGATTGAACGCACGATGAACATAACTATTAACTTCGGATTTCAAAGACGTTTTTGCAAATGAAATTTGAATAAGGATGGTTTAAATTTAAAAGCAAAATTAATGATATAGAATTGGGTTTTTTTAATCGTATAGCATGAGTTGACTAATTTTGCCTGCTCTTGGTCCGATCTTTTGAAAACGGTTTCTCTTTTAAACAGTTTCTCATCCGTACATTCTACCATTGAACGATAACCCCAACTTTTAAACGATTCTTTAACTGGTTAAAGTAGATGTTTTATAACCTTTAAAGCATGAATCTGTGATTGATTCAGGACCAGATTTATGATCTAATTAAATATCAAAATTCATGAGCTAACTCCTGATCAACTTCACAGGCAGCTGAGAAGAAGATCAGCAACGTTGTGGCTATTATCATCGTATCATTCTTTGTCTCGTGGACCCCCTATACCATAGTCAACCTTCTCGTCACCTTCGACAGAGCTGGTTTATTTACTAATAACTAGAAAATTGTATGTTTATTTATTGTTATCGATCGTAACTTACTCGACTATTACGAATTTTGCTGTAAAGCTCCTTTTTTTACCTGCATAAAGTCTATTAAAAAATTAAACCACACCCTCTTTTTCAGACTTCTTCGCTAAGGGAATCACTGCAACTATTCCAGCTATGCTAGCCAAGACTTCCACGGTCTGGTCCCCGATAATCTATTGTTTCATGAACGGAGAGGTGACTGTTGTTTAACATTAGCTCAGATTCGTTTACATTTGTTCAGATTTATTCAGATTTATTCAGATTTATTCAGATTTATTCAGATTTATTCAGATTTGTTCAGATTTGATCACACTTGTTCAGGTTTGATAAGACTCGTTCAGATTTGAACTATTATATGACTTTTAAAATAGTTGTCTAGTCGGTCAAATTTCACGGGTCACATTGCAATCGTATGACTCAAAATGCCCCAGTTTTGACCTTACAAAGTTATAAATTACGATTGTCATGTGATCCAAAAAACTCAACTCGCTTATTATTTATATTGGACAAAAGAGCATAGGGTAAAGCACATAATTTTGTCATTTTTGGTAATTTTCCGACTGCCTGATATAAACCATGGGTTTTAACCTCGTCTGAAATTCCGATTTAGATGAAACCTCCACCATGTTATAGTAGACAGTCTAGGCAAGTTCTAACACAAAAATGATCGAAATTGCTGGGGTTGAAGATGTTCAAAAAAATTATTTTGAAAAAATGACAAAATTAGGTGACTTTACTTAATTTTGTCACCCCGAACCTAATTTTGTCACTTGAAGATTGTGCAAAAAGTAACCGTTTCTCGGTATTTTAGACTACCTGGATGCATCATTCGAGCGCTTTTTTACCAACATTGACCTCAAAAATCCCAAAGATATGATGTTTTCATAGTTTTGTAGCTTGATGAAAAGATGACACTTTTTGGGTATCTAATCTTAGAAAATAGCCCCCAAATGCCCCTGAAACCACTGGCATCTTGAAAACTTTCTATGAAGCATGAATCAATATTGGTTACTGATTCACGAAACTATATTTACCAATAGCTCTTTAAAACCCAGAATTACAGTATATTTCTCGGCGAAAATATGCTATTATAAGTGTTTAAATGCTATTATAAGTGCCTTATACATATCCTATGGGCAAAAAAACTTCAGAATAGTTGTATAAGGCCATTTTCAACACAATCTGTGATTTACAAGAAATTTGAGAAAGGTCGATTTTTTTGACAAAATTAGGTACTTTTGGCAAAATCGAACCTAATTTTGTCACCCTCTGTAACTCTAACAATAATTGCGCTAGAGACTTGAAAATTTGTACGTATACTTCTGCTGTAGAAGATATTTGAAATATGCAATGGCATGAAGCTAGCTCAATTACTTTTGAAATAGCAATAAATCAAAATTTTGAAAATTCCTTAAGAAAACTTTAAGGATCTTATTTATTTTTCGGGTTAACAGTTTCGCCTTCATTTTTGACACAGATGCAAAAGAGCTAGAAACTTAAACTTTGTAGGAGCAGTTCCAGCAAAGTCTAAGCTTTCTTTTTATACACAAACCTTTTCTTTCAAGCTGAAATTCCGAGCCGAGGCAGTTTTTCAGAGCAAAATGACAAAATTAGGTACCCTGACAAAATTACGTGCCTTACCCTATTAATGTCAGAAATTTATACAATAGTATGCTCTCCACAGTAGATTGTTCTAGAATCAGATATCCATGACACAATAACATAATATCTATACTTCTTCAGGTTAGGACTGCGAACCTGCGGACTATCGCTCACCTCAAAAGAAGAATCAGGATCCTCTACTTCGGTGGACGGATTTAAACAGGAAACAGGCTCTCCCGCACAAAGAAGAGCAGTGCGCGCCCGTGCGTCCTTCCTGTCTGGGGTGTGGTCTCACCGACTACTTAGAACTTTAGAAACTTTCAGATTTTTGGTTTATGGTTAGGGTGATGCAACACACCCAAATGTGTTAAATGGACACAGAATGCATATTGCTGAGCACTGACTATCCACCTTCCTAGTTTGGTACATTAACAGACTTTAGTTAATTATGGTTTTATTTTCTAATTTTGCTTTACATGTTGCACAGTTTCACAATGATGTTTGTTTGAAAGATAGGTAATTTATGAATTTATCTGGTACAGGGGGCCGTGCAGGAATGAGGTTATATCTCCTTTAATTATACTTACAAGCTATTCACTTCAATATCAGGCTGAGGGTTTCACAACTGGTCAGAGTAATGAACATGTGTCATAATTCATGTGCAGGTACTACAATGGCTGTCAAGAAACAATATTTACTATCCTAAATCTAAATGCTTGTCCAGGTCAATATCTGGAGATCAAAAACCTCCCAACCCCTCACCCTCACCAGCATATACAACCACAACTTGTCACAGAGAGAACATGTTACCCTGTTACCATGACAACATATTGGTGTTACCATGACAACTTGTACTTTGTCATGGTAACATTATATCTGACTTACCCTTCCCCCACTGCTAGTCCCCTCAGTTGCCGTGAATCAGTACTAAATATTTTTCTTATACTAGTGGTGACTTCATTTCTGGAAATGCCCTTGCCAACTACAATTACTAAATAGAACATGTTATCATTGATCCCGTTTTTCTTTCTCGACTATGCTGATGTTTTAATTATTATTTAGTATTTGCTTCTGAAGAATAAATCTTTGGGGTATCACTTTTTATCGGTAATATTCATTATTTCTGACGAAGCGCATGTATGCAACATTTTGATTGCAAAAATCAAGACGAGGAGTTGATCCACATTTATAAGTTCTGTACTCCACCCGCACTCAATACACACCAAGAGTTGCAGATTCCAAGTCCAACTCAATGACCATTACCGTATACACCACAAACCATTCAACTTAAAATTCGCTTTATCAATTTAATTAATTTCCTTCCGACAATAAAATGCAATATATTTTACTACTTCCTCTGCATTTGTAAGGAGCAGGAATCATCAACTAATAATTTAATGAATTATATTAAATTATAAATTAATGATTGCATTTTATGTGCACCCTTCAACTTAATAAAAACTGTTCGCTCGAAAATGGTATGCAATTGCGGCGTGATGCAAAATCTGTCAGCATTGCAGAAATGAAATTATTAACTGCTTTCCAAAATCTATGCAGTCAGGATTGCAGAAATAAAAATATTGACTACGTTACTATTTAAAAATTGGTGATAAACGTTATTGCTTGTAGTTTGCGGATTAAAAATGGGCGTCATAGGCGATATAGCTACTTTTATTTGTCTTGCACATTCCATACAGGGTTGTCATTCACTGACTTTTTCGTTAAATCTTTTCATTATCAATCATGTGTTAAACTTGGTATATAACTTTTCGTAGAACAGTACAATTGCAATTTGTAATAGCAACGGGGGGAATGCAACGTCAATTAATGTCAATTAATGTCAATTAATGTCAATTAATGTCAATTAATGTCAATTAATGTCAATGTCAGTTTTGCAAAATTTTGGAATACTGACATTAATTGACACGATATTTTTCGACCAGAGATTATGTAGTTCTACCATATTTTTAGCACTTTAGAACGTTTATATCATCAATTTATTCACTACTATCACATATGGAAATGTGAAATGTGAAAAAAATTCAGATCATTAAACAATAAAACTAAAATAATACGGTTTTCCGAAATTTAATTTTCTTAAATGGGCGTGGCCATCCAAGGGCGTGGTTCTCAACATTATCAGAACTTAAAACCCACATTAAACGAAATGCCTTGATGACATTTATGTTTGAATAACGAATCTTAAACAGCTAACATTACTCCTTCATACTAAAAAAGCCGATTCTAGATATTTTACCTGTATAAGAAACCAATAAAATATGGGCGTGGCCGGTCGGGACCGAAGATGGAAGATTTGGAAGACAAATTAATGTCAATTAATGTCAATTAATGTCAATTAATGTCAATTAATGTCAATTAATGTCAATTAATGTCAATTAATGTCAATTAATGTCAATTAATGTCAATGTCAGTTTGGGGTTTTTATGGAATACTGACATTAATTGACGTTGCATTCCCCCCATAGCAACCAAAGGTTAAGTTTAACTGTTGTTTATTCTTCTTCTAGCCGCGTAAGGAGTAGTGATTTACGTTTATTGATTCCTCTATCAGTACAGCAGTTGGACAATGGACAAAACAAATAACATCAAAACTGTTGAAAGAAGACTCAATAAAATTTGAGGATTAGGTGATATTAAGGTTAGAACTAGAAGACGTTATTCACTCTTTCTGTGTTAAATTTGTCGTTAACAGAAGATGGTTGATTGATATTTTAATTGAATGTTATCTTTAACTGCTTTATTGGTTTTGCTTATCTTTAAACGCATTGATTCCAGTTATTATTTGATGTTTTTAGAAAATACTAAATGTTCATTTTGTTCAAAGATCACGGCTTTTGATATTTTAATTTTTGCAAGGTATCGATAACAGTGATCGTGACCTTCTATTTGTACGCTTTATTGACCAATTGCAATATCAAAATTGATTTTTTCTGCATCGACTTGTAGAATATAGCTAATAACAATTTCTTAATATACCGTTACAATCAAAAAGTTTATGGAGCTCTATAAGCTTAACCTAAATACAAATTATAAAAGTATTATATTTTCAATAAGCTAATAAGAATTCTCACGTGTTAGTTTGAGAGTAGCAGTGGCCATTTTTTGAGTCCCGTTGTTATCAATAGTAACACAAGTGTAGTTTCCTTGGTCTGCTTCCAGAATCTGAGGGAAACGAAAATAAAATGTCACATTCAGCCCAAAAGCAAGAAAGAAAAAAAAACAATAAAAGTTAAAATGATGAAAACTGTTGAAATTTTGAAAATATCGAAGTTGAAATGTTGAAATGTTCGGAAACTCACCCATCGGACGGTGAGAGTATTATCCTGAATGACCATCTTCCTGCTAGGTCTGATAGTTTCACCGTTCTTCTTCCACTCCTCAATACTCTCTATCATATTATCGTGCACACATTTAAAGGTTGTGTGGGCGTTCTGACAGGCTTTAGCCATCTCTGGCTCCACCTTCAAGTGCTTCTTGTTCACTGGAAGTGATGACATTAACAGCTGGTAAATATATCACTCTAAATTTTGCTGGTGAATGGATAAGTGTCGTACAGCAAGGACTCACACCGTGATGATCGCCAAGCTGAGCACATACCACGCCCACAAATAACATTAGTGAACATGTGATATTAGTGACAAATATCACATGTTCATTAAAACTACTTACTCTTATCACAGGGTCCAGCCATTACAGCAAACACCATCCTGTGGGTGTCACAAGCCTTCTTGTAGAGATGGCAAGCAGTGGGATAGGTCATCATGTCGCTACCACAAACCTGAGGTTGTTTATATAGTTCAGAGAGTGAGGGTTTATAATTAATGGTGGAGTTGGGAATTAGGACTGTCTTGATATTTGATAGTGTCGTGTACTTCTTCGAGAAATAGCTCGAAGTTAGACATACCAAGAATTAAAGACCAAATGTTTCCAAAACAACAAACATTGCAAAAAAGCAAATAATTTGTCTTAATAAGACCCGAAATTGGCCAAGACAAACCAGAATAACAAAACTTGGAGAATGAATGGCCAAAATGGGTTCAAAAACAAGCAAAATTGCGGCGCAAAATTGCAAAAATTATTGATACAACGAGCCAGAATCAGTCAAGATGGATTAAAATAACAAACCTCTGCGTCAGGAAACTCAGGACAATATTCTACACAAACACATCGCTCCTCTCTGCTGTATCTCTCGATGATACACTCTTGTCCCAACATACAAGGGTGGCCTTGCTTGGTGCACTCTGTGGAGGTTAAGTGAGGTTTCTAGCCTTGCTTGGTGCACTCTGTGGAGGTTAAATGAGGTTTCTAGCCTTGCTTGGTGCACTCTGTGGAGGTTAAGTGAGGTTTCTAGCCTTGCTTGGTGCACTCTGTGGAGGTTAAATGAGGTTTCTACTACTTGCTTGGTGCACTCTGTGGAGGTTAAGTGAGGTGACTAGTAGTGTAACTATGGTAACTAGTAGTGTAACTATGGTAACTAGAAGTGTAACTATGGTAACTAGAAGTGTAACTATGGTAACTTGTCCCAACATACAGGGGTGGCCTTGCTTGGTGCACTCTGTGGAGGTTAAGTGAGGTTTCTACTACTTGCTTGGTGCACTCTGCGGAGGTTAAGTGAGGTGACTAGTAGTGTAACTATGGTAACTAGTAGTGTAACTATGGTAACTAATAGTGTAACTATGGTAACTAGAAGTGTAACTATGGTAACTAGAAGTGTAACTATGGTAACTTGTCCCAACATACAGGGGTGCCCTTGCTTGGTGCACTCTGTGGATGTTAAGTGAGGTTTCTACTACTTGCTTGGTGCACTCTGTGGATGTTAAGTGAGGTTTCTACTTTTATGGGGGTTATGAAAGTGATCAGTGATTTGGCGAGATTTGGTTTAATTCTTGGAGAGTTCAATTTCTACCCAAGTGCATAAGCGGTCAGCTATAGCTAAAATAAGAGATTTGGTTCATAGTTTAATAGCTTCAATTAGTATTGCTAATATACAACAAAGACAGACTAACCGTCCATTTTTATCTTTGTTGCCTTTGCTGCCTTTGCCTTATCCTTTCCCTTATCCTTTCCCTTATCCTTTTCCTTTACATCTTTTCCATCTTTTCCCTTTACATCTTTTCCCTTTCCTTTTCCATTGCCTCTTCCTCCTTTCTTGTAATCCTTTTTGTCGACTTTGACGGACTTCTTGCCTTTGCCGTTGCCTTTACCGCTCTTTCTCTTCTGCAAATAAAATATGAATTATGTGGTGCGATCTTTTGATCTTCTAAATGTTTGAACGTCCGGGAGTGGGAGCAAGTGATAAAACGTCTACAGAGCGTTCATGCCCTCTCTAGCACATTGAAGAATGAAGAAGACTATATGCTACACTAATGTTATAATGTTACACTAACCGCACTCTCAGTGATTGCTAGAAGGGTTGCTAGGAGTAGTAGAACCAGTAGAAATCTGCTCATACTAAAATGCTACCCTCTTCTAAGTTTGACTAGTCGTCTTCCTAACTACGGGAATTGATTATATCAATATTGTTACGGTGTTACAGTGTTACAATAATGTTACAGTGTTACATTTAAATCAATATTGGGAATAAATGGTTGGTAAATATGGAATTCAAATATTATTGTTAGTATTCACGGAAATGGTTCAACTTTATTTCCACGAATAAATCTAAACGACAAAGTAAGCGATAAAAACAAAACAAACGATCTAAACAAGATAATGGATGTCGGTTATACCTTGCGAGTCAAAGCCCAATGATACCCTTCTAGAACTTCCTGTCCCACACAAGGTGGATATTGATTGCTACTCATTTAATTAGAATAGAAGAACAAAGGAGCAAAAACCGACCACCGATTTGAAGGTGCCTGGTGCATGGCATCCCTTATTAAGCACCGTTTTAGAACCAAACAACGCCGGCTAAAATCAAGCAGTCACTGACTGGTCAGTTAGTCAGTAGGTGTCACTTCAAAAGTGGTTTTAAGCCAGCTAATTTGTGTGTCTGGGACGACAAAGCGCAAAATGAGTATGCTCGATCATAGTTCAAACTTATAGTTATAATCTGGGGACCGTTTTTAAGAGCAAGGGAGATCGCAATACCGTGGAAATTATTAAGTACGAATGTTCAACATAAGAATTATAAATTATTAAACGATTCAAAATAAATATGGAAGACTGATAGTTGATACATAATGCGAAATGTTCGATATTTAATAAACAATTACTCCATATTTCCTAACATTCACAAACGAATTTGGACCACGAGGAATTTTTCAGGACGTTGTTAATCTCGGTAAGGTGTATACTGTATACCGTATCATTTACAGTATTAGTCGCAAAATCATAAAGGTTTTATAACATTGCATAATTAATGTAATGTTATGAAACCTTTTATAACTGCGTGTCTCGACAACTATAAGCCGCTTTTCAACTTTATTTCTGCTGGAGAGGTCGTTGGAATTTGAAAATCAGGTCCAGAATGAGATATAACGAACTCGAACCTCAATTCATTAACAATGCTTCCAAACCCGTGATGTGCGCTTGAAACAAGTGTAAACTGGATATAATTCCATTAAATAGTTGTGGAACACAACAAGAAAATTGAGAATAATCTTGTGCGAGGGTAGGGACCCAGATGTCGTTTCTAACCCAAATAAACTTTAAGGAGGCTTCTCATCAGTAGCCGCACCTCCTTACTCGGTTTCTGAACTGGAATTCTATGGGCTTCCAGACGGCCAGACCGAGTATTACCACCCCATCCTTCTAGAGTTCATCACAAGTAGCACCCACCTTGAAGATCTTTGACACCCAGACACACCCCATTGGCGAACAAACTTTGGATATAATCTTACATGCTCCCGAAGGAATCCCTGGTTTATGGTCTTTCTCATCGTCACCAGCACTTTCACTAGAGTCACCAGCCCTTTCACTGGAGTCATCAGCCCAATCACTGAAGTATACAGAAGTATAGTTGTGGAACACAACAAGAAAATTGAGAATAATCTTGTGCGAGGGTAGGGACCCAGATGTCGTTTCTAACCCAAATAAACTTTAAGGAGGCTTCTCATCAGTAGCCGCACCTCCTTACTCGGTTTCTGAACTGGAATTCTATGGGCTTCCAGACGGCCAGACCGAGTATTACCACCCCATCCTTCTAGAGTTCATCACAAGTAGCACCCACCTTGAAGATCTTTGACACCCAGACACACCCCATTGGCGAACAAACTTTGGATATAATCTTACATGCTCCCGAAGGAATCCCTGGTTTATGGTCTTTCTCATCGTCACCAGCACTTTCACTAGAGTCACCAGCCCTTTCACTGGAGTCATCAGCCCAATCACTGAAGTATACAGAAGTATAGTTGTGGAACACAACAAGAAAATTGAGAATAATCTTGTGCGAGGGTAGGGACCCAGATGTCGTTTCTAACCCAAATAAACTTTAAGGAGGCTTCTCATCAGTAGCCGCACCTCCTTACTCGGTTTAGCTGAGTATCAAGAAAATTCTGTTCAACTTCATATCTGGCTGATGAGCTCGCTTTAACTGGGGAATCTTGCCAATAAAACGACGCACAGGGGTAAGAAAACGATAAATTTGGGTCACAAGTTCTTTAATCATTGATTCTTTAATTAGCTGTGGTATCAGATCTGATTTCAACCCAATAAAAGAGATTTTTATAGCTTTTAAGAGAACATAAAATCTAGCAATGAGTCAGAGTGGAGCTTACAGTTACTACAGAAAAATATCATCAAAGAAAAAATAAATGAAAGCGCATAAACAACACTATCGCTAAACGATTAAACTACTTAACGAACATTAATTGATTGTGTTTGCGTCTGTCGTGTAAATGTATTACGAAATGTATTTTACTATTTGTCTAGACAACTGCCGAGCGGAAAAGAATATAATTCATGAAAATGTGTTACATCTAAAGCTGCATCTATCAACTGTTGCATTTATTATACCCGTCATTATATATTACCTTATATACTTATAATATGGGTAATGTTTGTACTGAAGGATATTATATAGACGCGTTCCACAGAACAGTACGATACTAATAATAGTCCAAAAAATCAGGAAGAAATTGCATTGAAATCAAATTATGCTTTCTGCTTACAGGCAAAAGCGTAACTGTAAATCGACAAGGTTATTAAATTTAATGCATAGTACTAAATGAGGCTGCTATATAGACACCACGTGCGACCTAACACTAAATTTATTCGGAGGCTTATTATAGTTATGTAGAATAGGAAACTATGGGACAACGATTTAACACTTGGACACAGAAGCCAGCTTAAATCAGTCGAATCAAGCAAGTCATTGGTCACAGAACGTGGCTTGCGATAATAACTGAGGCACCAATAATTAAATAGGCAAAAGCAAACGCGACAATAAGAATTGGGGTTGGCACCAAAAGCAGGAACGTAGAATTGTAATGCTTTGTCACTGTTCGGTAGTCCTATAACATACTTCGAAGCACTTTAAAGTTTAAATGTGCCACTCCAAAGTGCTATTCAAGCACCAATTTCCTATTATTAGAAAGTGAACTCAGCTCAGCCTACTCAAGAAACATGACCTCAACAAAACACTGAAAATACGATAAAGTTACGTAATAAATCGCAGAAGTCCTAATAATAATCAAATTTTGCGTTGGCAATTTCATTTTTAAAGATTGACAAAATCTCGGTGGGTCCGAAATTTGGAATTTAATCACTTGAGAGCTGAGAACAGATTAGTGTCAGAACGTTTTAAAGTTTTAAATAATGCGTGATTAAAAGGGGTTACAAAATTTGGATAGCGTATGTTTTGTCTTGAATATGGGTGCAGTACCCGTGAAACCGACAAAGAAGCAGTAAAAATTGGGTGGCACCCGTGAAATTGAACGCAGAATCACTAAAAATCCCGGGAACAATGGACTTGGTTGTCGGCTCCAGGTGACAATTCAGGATAAAAATTACATGAAATCGAGTAGCAATGAAATCAGTCACATACCAGAGGGGTAAAGTGAGGAATCTGTGAAAATGTGACAAGGCAGAGAGTTAATAAAGAGAGTGTATTTTAACAGACTATGAGCATTTTAACACACTTTTCTTCCATTCACCTAGCAGAATATCCCAGCACAATATCCCAGCGGATAATGTGAGACAAGGATCCAATGAATTTACAGACTACACAATACACAGAGTATAAAATACGAGTATAGCTTCTGTTATCGAATTACATGCGGGTGATTTACCAAACTCGATCTTGCAGGCAATAATAATTTAATAAATTCCGGCCAAGAAATGAGAAACAGATAATTTAAAGCTCGATCAGAGCACCAAGACATCATAAGACCTGGCTCCAACGAGCATTGTACACATTACAGATGGTATGTTATATATACGATGCCACTACTGGGAAGGTGTCTGTAGTAGCCTGACAAGTGTTCACAGTAATGGTATATAGCCATATCAACACCATACAAATAAAGTCATGGGAGTCATTTAGATATGAGACACGATAAGATGACTTGTAGGCTGTAAGAGCATATATTATGCTCATATTACTACATATGACTAAATACTCTCTCTTTAATCAGTGACATATACAGTAATATGTCAGGCCAGGGTTGATATATTCTATGGGTTTCATAAGAATTATACACGGGTGGTATTCGGAGGAGTGTTGGTTAACACATTAATGTTAAGAAATCAATAGGTCCAGGAATAGAACTAAGTTGCAGCCGGCACGTCGTTCCCTCAGATGTGACCCCCATCCCTGCTCATAACACATCATGGAGTTTAAAACGAGCCGAGCATGACGGTGATGCAACAAATCCCTAAGGGTCAAGCTTTTAAGTGACTATAATAACCTCACAACCATTACCTCCATCGCAACTCGCAACAAAAAATCACAAAATGAAAGTGGCCACGGAGGCGGGAGACCGGACTTTAAGAGAGATTATAGCTTCATAACCATTTTACATATTTTATAGACTGGGCATCATCCCAAATTACAACAAATTATAACAGATCTCGAATCTCGGTGAACTTAACAGAGGCCTGGATACTTTGAAATGGATAGATCATTATGTCACTGAAGGCCGGTGAGTTAGCAATGATGATACTGTGATATAACGGATCATGACGGTTCTAGTAACTTCACTGGGATGAGCAACAACCAAACAAATATGGGAATCTGACGACGCTCACCATTACAACTCATAAAGTTACAACTCATAAAGTTACAACTCATAAAGTTACAACTCAAAGGTTACAACTCATAAAGTTACAACTCAAAGGTTACAACTCATAATAAGTTACAACTTATAAAGTTATAACTCACTATAATGATTAAAGATCGACGGTTGATCACTTCGTATTGGACCGGGACTGATAGGCTTCGTTATAAGATTACATGATTACATCTTTACATCTGTGTAGGAAACTAATCTAGGAACTACAAATTGTCCAGAAATATAGCTAGGGACAGGTTCGTCCTGGAAACTACAGGAACAGGTTCGTCCCGGAAACTACAACCGACACTAACTCTCAAGTGCCTCAACAAATCTCATCTCAACGAAACTACAAACTCTCATAACGGAACTACAAATCACACAGATCTGACAATGATCACGTTACCCAGCCCATTAACTAGATCTCATATATAGAGTGATACGTATTATGGCACTGTTCAGGCCTCTAACCACGTCATCTCCCACACTCTCCCACTGTTGGTAGCAGCACAGAGCACACGCCCACCCCTTATCAGCTGACATCTCTAGGAACCTTATTAGGTGATCTTTCCAGGAACCTTATTATGTAACCTTTCCAGGAACCTACACAGCGTCATTTAGTAGCGTGATTAAGCAGGTATGTGTGGAAATTACGTCAACATATATACATATATTATATATTGCAACAACACTGGGCAGAGAGGCAAATATTATGTAATCGAATTAATCGTGGCTGGCCGATCATTATACAGACAACAAATTCCAGCCAATAAATTATGAACAGTACGACATAATTTAAAGCTCGACCAAAGAACCAAGACCTAAAGGGCATCAGCATACATATTGTAATAGATTTTCACAGATTCGATTACCGGATTAGCTGGATATGATATATCAGTACACTTGACTGCAAAAAGCACAAAAACCTGCCCGCCCAGTAACATAAACAGTGCTGCGTCACGTCCGCAGTCCAGCCTAAATTGAATTTCAGAAAAACTGAAATATTCTCGGCCTTTAAAAATTTAAAAACGGGCTGTAATCAATATTAATATAAAAGTATTCAACTAAAATAAGTAGAAGTGTTGACTGTTGAGCGCTAAATGCACCGATCGGAGGAGTAGGCAGGGTCATGGCACGTTCGAAACTGACACGTGGCGATATCTGACGGAAGGAGCTGGCTCCAGAGAATGCAGAAACGGATCCCCCTAGAAAGTGCACGAGAACATGAGGTCCAGAAGCCGCCAAAAAGTGTCACGAAATGAAAATTCTGGTTGTAGAACTTGTAGCAGCTCGGAGGAGAAACTTGAGATCCTAATTTTTGTCATTAGCTTGAAAACTTATTAGATTTTGTAAACTTTTGTGGAATTGGAAACGAGGCTCCCTAATGAAATCATTTCAGGTCAGGGACTTAAAATTTCGGAATTGGAACCGCCCCAGGAGTAAAACCACCAACCGGGCATAGACGATAACAGACACTCGGCTCGGCTAGAGAAAGCCGCTTCAATTTTGTGAATTATGAGTCGAGCGTTTTGTTATCATGCAGGAGGTTGCAATCACTGCGGGGGGAATGCAACGTCAATTAATGTCAATTAATGTCAATTAATGTCAATTAATGTCAATTAATGTCAATTAATGTCAATTAATGTCAATTAATGTCAATTAATGTCAATGTCAGTTTTGCAAAATTTTGGAATACTGACATTAATTGACACGATATTTTTCGACCAGAGATTATGTAGTTCTACCATATTTTTAGCACTTTAGAACGTTTATACCATCAATTTATTCACTACTATCACATATGGAAATGTGAAATGTGAAAAAAATTCAGATCATTAAACAATAAAACTAAAATAATACGGTTTCCCGAAATTTAATTTTCTTAAATGGGCGTGGCCATCCAAGGGCGTGGTTCTCAACATCATCAGAACTTAAAACCCACATTAAACGAAATGCCTTCATGACATTTATATTTGAATAACGAATCTTAAACAGCTAACATTACTCCTTCATACTAAAAAAGCCGATTCTAGATATTTTACCTGTATAAGAAACCAATAAAATATGGGCGTGGCCGGTGGGGACCGAAGATGGAAGAGTTGGAAGCTGAAATTTTTTTTGGTGGTCTTTGAACCTAAGGATCAACAGATAAGAACATACTCATAATTATTCAAGGACATTTTGTTTTTTTGAACCGGTCTAACTTACATAGACGTGAATATCTTGAATATTTATCGAATAATGATAATCTCAAATTTCAAGACATATCAATGTCAATTAATGTCAATTAATGTCAATTAATGTCAATTAATGTCAATTAATGTCAATTGATGTCAATTAATGTCAATTAATGTCAATGTCAGTTTGGGGTTTTTATGGAATACTGACATTAATTGACGTTGCATTCCCCCCATCACTGCAAGGTTGAGTGGAGGCCGTGTGTTTTAGGAGGCAGGTTCTCTACACATCATGCAGAGCATATTCATATTGTATTGAATCTTCATAAGAGGAGTGAAGGAGTTATTAAGAGTTTAAACTTATCAAAGTTGCGGAGGATAATACGATATTTGATACATTTGTCGGAGTCACTGTAAGTATTATCGTTGAGAAGAAACAGGCACTGAAACGAACTGAGCTCATCAACAGATCAAACGATGGACACACTTCAATTTCAAAATCACTGACAAAAATACCGCTTGCGTAACCCGACAGGGAATATGTACGACAATGTATTCAAATGTAATACAGTGTATATTAATAAATACACCCATTAGTAAATGCATTTTATCAAGTTGGACTGGCCGCCTCAAATCCAATCACGTGGTCAAAACACGTGGGTAGCAAGTGAGTAACACGTGGACAACTTTATACCTACTTCCAGTATGGTTTCTATGACGACATCACGTGGTTTGACTTTGTAGACAGTCACGTGGGGTGTGAGGTAGGATATTTACTGGAGGGATTGTGCTGAAGGTGTTGATGGGAGCTGATACTCTGATGTTTCAGTAAACAGGCTCGAATAGAAAGTTTCAAATTTAAAAAGATTTAAAAAGATTTAAAAAGATTTAAAACAAGGACCAGGAACGTTTACAGTCGGTACCAATTCTTTAATCAATAGACCAGCATTGTTCCCTGTAAGCGCCATATCAAACTAATAAGATAATACCCCTAGGAAGTTCTGCGTATCTCGTATCGCAATGCAAGTAAGATGATAATATCATGATATTATAATGAAGTAATGATAAACGAAACCCAGCAAAGGATATCTCACAGACATTAATGAAATGTTGCTGGGAAGTTGACTTATATAGATTCAATCTACGGCCATAACGCTTGGAAGATACCTTATTACAGCGTACAGATTGCATCTTAGATCGTTTCTATAGAAACTCTCCCGGAAGTGGGGATCAACTGTGATATCTGTCACCCATCAAGCATGGCTCCACTGTGTAGGTGCGGGTGGGTGCGCATCCACCCAAAGGATGTTGCACCCACTCAGTTTCGACTTGCACCCACCCAAACGATTTGAAAATTTGTACACCAAAATTGTCAAATTTTGTATATATTGTCAAACACAATTAAATGATTACTTTCTTCTGACTTCATCGCACAAGCTACAGAATCGTTGGACTCTATTAAAAGGTCATGAGACTCCATGCATCAGGCTTTGCTACGGATCTGGAAGACTCTGCTCAATAAATAGCAGACTCTGTTACGGAATATGACGGACTCTGTTACAAATTGGGCTGCAGAACCTGCTAGGCTATAACATACTCGACAGCTTGATACTAATGGACTCTACCACGACTCAGACTGCAGTCTACGGTCCGTCCCCAGTCTGCTGAGTCTGCTGAGTCTGCTGAGTCTGCTGAGTCTGCTGAGTCTGCTGAGTCTGCTGAGTCTGCTGAGTCTGCTGAGTCTGCTGAGTCTGCTGAGTCTGCTGAGTCTGTACTCTGTCGGCGATATTGCCGAAAACACTTGTCATACTGTTTGTTTGATTACTAAACCAACAGGAAGTACCACCGGCTGCTACTACAAACAATCTTACCAACAATTGCATTATACTCTGTGTTACGTGTGGACTCTCTTTGTTTGGTTCCCTTGCTCTTGCCAACTAATCCATTAATCCCCTTAAAGTTAAAGCTTGGTGAGTTTTAGTAGATCCAATACCTATATATCCTATTGGTATTAAATTGGTGTGAAGTCAATCTAAATTTTTCATTCAGTATAATAACTTAATAATATCATCTTCATTTTTATCATCATCACACCGAAACAACCTAATAGTAATGAATAAGGGCGCTGGCCGCTACCTTCGAAAACGGTTGATAGTAAAATAGAATATAATACAATCGAACAGCATAACATAGCATAAATAGTAATGATAATAAAATAATTCAATATTATGGAGTTATGGGGCTTCTGGGTGCTATGTAAGGTTCGACAAATCAGGCTGATACTGTTAGAATTATGTCCTACTAAAGTGCTAAAGAACACCCTACTAACTCTAACTCTAAGTGCCTTAATCTGCCCCTTAATTTTGTAAAGAACTGTGGTGATGCAGCTGCAAGGTATATCTTTTACTATATCGATATTAATTCAGCAATTAAGGCTAAACCATATCCTATTTTCAGCATAACTCAAGACAGAATAAAATCAGCAGGAATGCCGCGGGAATGCGTTTCCCTCCACATAGGTCAGGCAGGAGTACAGATTGGGAGATCTTGTTGGGAGCTGTATTGTTTGGAGCACGGTCTGGGGAATGATGGAACACTCAAAGAGGGGCATGACTCAGGTTTAACATATTTTAACATATATATTCAACATATTTTAACATATTTATTTTAAATCAATCCGGCTCTCAATCGACTAGATTTTAAATCTGGTTTAACAATAAGGAAATTAGTCTTGTTAAAAATCAGCAAATTTAAAACTAAGAAATAATTATCAGGAACCTAATTTGGTAACGGTGCGGTGGACTACATTATCTTAATTTAGAATGGTCGGAATATCGCAGCACATTTGCTTAACTTAAGCGTGTCGTGATTGCAACCAATCTGCCCTAAATTTGTAAAATAACTGTTATACATGCAGTAGTGCACCTGATCAAACGAACACTGTCAATATTATGGATTTGAAAAGAAAAATGTTCGAAGCGACGAAAAGGGTGGGTGTATTTCTACGTGGCTGATAAATGATAGATCATCGCACAAATTAGACAGATGGAAATTTGCCAACAAACCTCAATATCTTTCAATCGAGATACTTGATTGATTTATCGTCATAATCTGTCAATTTATTCAATATCAATGAGACAGGCTTTGCAGTTTGCACGAATCAATGTGTAAATTTATAAATTAGGACTAGGAAAATCGATACTGATGCTGGTTATAACTTTATAAGTCAAAATGCTAAAGAGGTCAAATATTTCGTCAGCTGATCCAGATTCCAGAAATATCCGAAATAAGTATTATAAGTTAATCATTTATACCTGATTTCCTCATATTTCCACACATTTCCATACTATTATATGGTTAAAGTTACAATATTAATTTAATTTAATGAAAGTAATCGTTATTTTTAGAGTCTAGCGATCTGACGACATTGTACTCGGAGGCATCAAACGGGAAATATGTGCCCAGAGCACTTTTTGTGGATTTCGAACCAACCGTGGTGGACGAAATAAGAAATGGACCGTTTTCAAAACTATACAATCCTAGCAACATGATAACAGGTGAAAGATTTATAACGGAAATGACCAAAAAATAGAACCGTTCGAAAATATTGATTATTGCCCCAAGCTGCACTGTAAAATATGATGGGCACCTAAATAAAACACAGTTAACGCATACCATCGAGCTACATTTATAATGTCCACAATTACATGTACCAAATAAATTAAACGCACCCAATATAGCAGAACTGTTATTTTAACTGGGTGCCGTGCGAGCCGATGACAAAGAAAATCCTTTTTCTGGATATATTTCGAACTCTAATCAAAATTCTTAAGTGACGTATAAACGATTCGGTCTTTTTTAGTTATAAGTCACAAATTTTTCGTTTTAGGTGGGCAGTATTCTACTGACGAACGCCTCTAAATAAACATTTAAACTGATACTTGTATGTGATTATTGCCGAGAATTAACAAACATTGACACCGCTATATAAATATAAGGCAATATCATATTGGTGTATTATATCACTCTTTATTTACCACAAAAACACTTTACTTTGAAATATGGTTATTACGGAAACACTATATTTCCTATAAAAGCTTTTCTTAAGAAGTGAAATAAATTCTTCATATTATGTAGCTAAAGAGTGTGGACTATTATAGCTATATACCTGGTTAAAAAGTTTCCATCCCATTACATAATAGTTAATACTCGATAAATTTAATAGATTTTAAGTGTTGTTATAAAGTCTAAAAATACATTCAACTGCAGGAATGGAGGATTCGGCAGACAACTTTGCTCGAGGGTATTACACGGAGGGAAGGAAGCATATCAACAAAGTGTCAGATCAAATGAGAAAGATGATAGAGGCATGCGAATCAGTTCAGGTACATTAATTAACTAATTAATTAATTAATTAATTCTCAGATCTAATGAAAGATGACATATTATACTGTGCGCAAAATAATGGGTGTTACCAACAATTTAGGACATATATCTGTATAGCTGCAAAAGAAGATGCCAAATTTTTTTAGCCATAAGCTATAGTTTGTATATTGTAAAACAGCAGTATAAGCTTCCATGTGGACGGAAGGGTGGTCAGAAATTTTCAGAGCATACTATTTAACATTATAATATTGGTCAACGTACTCTCAGTCTACATAGAATAGATCGTTCTTGACAGTTGAGCAACAAAACAGATTTAGCTCCTGTATTTCACTGACCGGAGGATATAAGGATCGACACTCTTATCAATCCTGTCAAAGAATACCATAGCAGAAATGAAATCAAGACAAGTTTAATCTAGACTAATTTAGGGCTGACAATAAAACGGCAGCCGCTGACGTTTTATTGTCGAGTTCTGATTAAGGTTCGCCCGATCATATGACAGATGTTATTGATTCAGCCGATTGATTCAGCCGATCATATGACAGATGTTCTGATTGATTCAGCTGATCATATGACTATATGACAGATATTCTGAGTGGACCACTTATTGATCACGCGACAAGAGCCAATAATTGATGTCAAGAAGGCTATACAACTGAACCTTCTTATCAGCATCATTATCGTACAGTCTAGTATGGAGCATGGTTGTAGAATATAGCTGTATCTGTTCTGCAGCCAATCAGCACCAAGCAATTTGGTCACGTGACTTCTAAACAACCAATCATCAGCGATAAAGATAAGCGCCACGCGATCGAATAAGATAAGGGTTTATCTTTGTAATAGCTCTAATGGCAGATAATCAGCATGAAGCAAGTTCGTCACATGACTTCCTGTAAACCAATCAGGCCCAGACTTACAGACTATATAGTAGATGAATGTGCAGTGATTATCAAGTGGGAAATATGCTGCTTATATCATCTTATCTTTATCTATTTCCGTAATTCTTATGTTTGCCGAATAGATAAAACTGGACGGTGGAAATGAGACTTGATCATGACTTTAAAGGACAACCTTGGTTCCGACCCTCAGGGTCGAAACAGACGCACTACACAAGGTCGGAACAGGCACTGAGGTTATAACACAAGTGTTAATCTAAATGATTTAACAATCCAATTTCGGAAAACTATCTTTAAAAATACGGGATTCTGGATTACCCTAGTGAAGTTAAAATTATTTTGAGATTCAAGGGCGTTAAATTCCCCCATTTCAGGGATTTCTAATGTTCAGATCGTTCGGCGGCGGTACAGGGTCGGGTTTTACTTCACTTCTAGTCGAGGAGCTCTGCACAAACTATGGGAAGAAAATAAAACTGGAGTACGCTATCTACCCTTCACCTACGGTTAGTGGATTGGATTTAGTTGTTACTTTTAGCTGAGTATCATGTTAGTAGGTAACACTTAAACTGCACTGGTGAAGAGTGAAGACTCCATAGTCCATTTGCACAGGTCGTTCCATAATCCGGAAGGCGAGTGCAAAAATACCGATTAGACGATTAGCAAAGTAAACTCAAGAAAACGATCAGATACAGAAGTGAACTTTGCATCTAATCGTGATAACGCAGCGTGCAGACGCAGCTAGGAGGCCAAATTGACCGGGCGAATTCCCACGCTCCTGCGCGCATAGCAGGGTCACGTGATCACATATTAGAAACACGTGGTACACAAAAAGAACGCCTTGGCTAGACGCTTAAAATTATGAGTCGTGTAAAATGTGTAAGAACTTATAAATTGCAAAGATGACTCCCATTATAGCTTCTAATTATAGTTTGTAATTGAAACTAGGGACGTAACATTAAACTTGTGATCTCACCGCAGGTGTCTACATCCATAGTAGAGCCATACAACAGTATCCTTACTCCCCACCAAACTGACGTGTGCTTCATGATGGATAACGAGGCTATCTTTGATATATGCCAGAAGAAGATTGATATTGAGTGGCCTACGTATGATAACCTGAACAGACTTATCAGCCAGGTTAGAGATAAGCCATTCATGGGTGATGAGTCTATAATCTTAGATCTGGTATCAAATTGGTATCTCCTCGATCTAATATATCCACATCTATCGATTGATTTAAGAAATCTTAAATTTACTAGATAGCATGCAGCGTAATATTAACTCGCTCAGCTCAAATAACCTGATAAAGTGTGTTACACTTACAGGTAGTGAGCAGCATAACTGCTAGTCTGCGGTTTAAAGGGTCCCTGAACGTGGACCTGAACGAGTTCCAGACTAACCTGGTACCCTACCCCCGCATACATTTCCCTTTAATTAATATGAGTCCCCTCATATCACGTGAGTTATAGTGAACAAATATTGATAGTAATGAGTGTGAGAATGAAACTAATTTTTACCTTATCGGACCTTATTTGGACGGACATAATTATGAACGGACATTAATATGAACGCTAGAAGGCACTCAAAACCATCAAAAATCCGAATTTTTTCTTATTTTTTTATTTCACAAAATGATTTTTAAATCCATTTTTATACAGTAAGTAAGAAAAGCAGTCGTTAAGCAGTAAACATGTTAAAAGATGTGTACATGATCAGTGTTAAATATTGCATATCATCTTCATCAAATGGGTTTTCGTGCATGAAATAGTTCAACGTTAAAAAATTAACCAACGTTGGCCTATAAAACGTTTAAGAACTTTTCATTCACAATCTAAAATTAAATACAACGTTAAAACGCTGTTAAATTTTAAACGTTGCTCATATCAATTGGTTCATCTTTTTGGGCGTTCGTCAGTTCGTGTAATGTTTTTTATCCCAGTTTCAACGTCTTTTCAGTTTCAATGAGTCAGCTAGAAACTTGATCTCTATTTCCAGACTTTCATAATGATCATTAGGCTCACAACAGCTGGAATAAAATAAGTTAACCTCCTTTCTGGCTCACTTGTGGGCTGCTTCAGAAGGCTATACTATATATAACTGTCTAATTGAATAATTGGAAGAGAACTCCATCAGGCCTAGATGAACCAAGCGGGGAGTTGATACACCTTTCACAAGCAAGAGCCACTTTGGTCTACTTGCTGTGAGGTGTCTCAGCTACGCCTACATGGGTTGGGGGTCCCCCCTTTTCTTTTTGTTGGCTTTGCTGTTTGGTCTGCACTGATCACCATTATTTAGGACTCGACATGATTTAGTGTTTTACAGTGTGCCGTGTGGGAGCTTGGGAGTAACTCTTAGAGGGAATATCTTCGATCAGATTTGCAAGGGTTTTGCTTGACCGTCCTTTTTCCAGTTGCCGCTCTCATTAGCGATTCATCAAGAGCGCTTTTTCCATGGGATTGTTCGTTGACTTACATATTGCGTAGTCTGAACTCTGATATCATTGTGGTAATATAATTGCAAAGCTGCAAGATTTTGCAGTTTTTAATTCCCGGGTGCAGATAATTATAATTTATATAGACTTAAAATAGAATTAAAGTCGATGTACCAAGCGCTTAAAGGGCCGTTGCAATCTATTAATCAATTTCATATTGGAGAAACTCTTCAGTCTCGTCTAATAGTAATAGACAATGTCCTTGGCAACACGATTTACCGTAATTTATGTAGAGGCTGGAACAAGTTTGTGATGTTGGCGGGGACTAACTCATGAACTATGTTGTTGAGTGCCATACTTTCGTTGACTTTTTCCGCAAAGTTCCCCTCGAAAATATCATATTATACTAGTCGAGTTTTCTGTGCCTCCGGCAGCCAAGGAGAACCTTTCCGTCGTTAACTTACGGCACAATAAAGTTCTCATAGTTGTCATATTCTGGACAAAAAGTTCGAATTTTTGAAAAAAATTTAATGGACTTTAACTTGGACGGACCTTAAATGAACGGACTTTATTTGAACGGACATTAAGACGAACGTTAAGGCCTCCAGCGTTCAATTAATGTCCGTCCAAATAAGGTCCGATAAGGTATTCGAAAAGTTTATAAGAATTTACGATTCTGGAAGAATCAATAGACATTGCACTGATCTTTTTAAGCTTTATAGATTCCGTGAACCATTATATTTTCGTTGACATGTTCTCATAGCTATACCGGTAACACCTGCACCAGGTGAACGCATAAACCACCAGAGTTACACAACGGGTGAGGTTACAAGCGAGGTGTTCGAGGAAAGCAGTCAGATGGTCAAGTGCAACCAAAAGTTAGTTTTCAAAAGTAACCAAAAATGAACTGCATTATTGATTATACTAAATGATAAACGAAAACTTACAGTGATTGTTGACTTCTGAGAGTGAGTTTATCTTCTCCGATGGCTCAACTAAAGTTTAAAGTAGGTCGTATTTTTCAATTTCATGAGAACATACCATAATTTGATTGAATCCTATAAGCCATAAGGCCATGCTATAGGGTGTCTGACTCCTTCATTAATCAATTCACTAATATAATGGATAATTTATAATGTGTTCCCAGGCGAGGAATGTTCATGGCTTGCTGCCTACTATTTAGAGGAGACTTCAATACAACCCACATTAATTCCGCTATTACAAACATCAAGTGCAGAAAAGATATACACTTCGTCGACTGGATACCCACTGGCTTCAAGGTAATTGGAAATGAAAATTGAAAAGTTTTTTAATTTATCTGGAATCACAATGAAACTCTGTTTAGCTTTATAAAGTGGGTGGATAATGGATATGTCCTATGAAATCATGGATCATGGCCCCTATTATAATAAAACTATTTTCATTGCATCTATATGCATTTTCTTATCATGGGAAAAAATCCCATTTCTATAAGTCTGACAACACGGATTTATGTTATTAACGTAAGTTCACTTTCAGATTGGATTGAATGGATCTGCCCCCATGGTTTTCCCTGACGACGAGCTTGCCCAGGTGAGCTTGATGATTGATGAAATCACAAATTTCAAATTTAGACACAGCTTTTTATAAGCTTATGATATGAATAATTCACTGATGTATCTCATAATTGGGTTTCTATCGATTTCAAATTCTACTATATAGAAGCCGAATATGTTGATAAAAATTCAGTTGGGTTGAAAATTAATGAATGTTTGTTGATCTTGATAGGACTGTACGTATATTATTACTATTTACAGCTGTATTGAAACTTGAAAAAGTTAAAACGTTCAGGTGACTAGATCGTGCACTATGCTAAGCAATTCAACAGCAGTAAAGGAAGCGTGGGAACGACTACATGACAAGTTCAAGAGCATGTACAATAGACGAGCGTTCGTCCATTGGTCAGTATAGAAGACACCAAATTATAGTTGTTATATTCATAATCATATATATTTGGCCCATATTGATCATCTAGTTTATGTTCTAGTTCTACTTCTTATAGGTTATACGCCTAGTACGTGGTATATTTCTACTTATTAGCTAGAGTATGATCATAATAATAACTCGGAAAATTTGTGCTTCCGGGCCTAATCTCTTCTTAATATAGGAGGGCTGGACCGAAAATGTAAAACAGCTGGCATAGAGCTGTTTCACTTTGGAGCACCGTCTAAAATATAATAAAACCTTAAACTCCTAAAATAAAATTACATGATCAGTGTCTAATATCACATATCATCTTCATCAAATGGGTTTTCGTGCATGAAATAGTCCATGCTTAAAGCATCAGTGATTTCTAGCTTTATGGAAACCTTATTTTTTATCAAACTACCCCGGTCCTGCAATTCAGTGTTAACTTTTAGTTTTACAAGCCATTCGGCGTGAAGTGGTATCATCTTAAACAACTTTAGGACTTAGGTTAACCTTAACATCACGTGGAGCTTTCCTAGCACTGTTTCATTACCTCCCCTAGCTGAGTAATATGAAATATAAGTTATAACAACGTCGGACAATGTCCTTGGCAACACGATTTATCGTAATATATAGAGGCTGGAACAAGATCATCACCGATGTGGACTTTGCATGAGATGATATAGCACTTATATCTAGCTGAGGACATGGACAAGGCTAACGAGTTCCTGCTCCGAGTAAAATCGGCGGCAGCGAGCGTGGGGCTTCACGTAAACGAAGGCAAGACCAAGGTTATGACATTGAATATGGAGGATCGACCTGTCGACCTACAAAGTCGATACGGGGAAGCCATAGAAAATGTGAATGATTTCATTTACTTAGGCTCCTGGATTGAGAGCAGAGATAGGGAGATAAGGGTTAGAAAGGGAAAAGCGTGGGGTGCCCTACATAGACTGAAGGATATCTGGAAATCCAATCTCTCAAAGAGCCTCAAGATTAGATTGTTCATAGCGGCTAGTGAATCAGTACTGCTCTACGGATCAGAAACCTGGACACTGACAAAGGCTCAAGTGAAAAGTTTCGACGGGACATACACAAAGATGTTGCGTATGGTGCTGGGTATCTCATGGAAGGACAAGGTCAGCAATATAACTTTGTATGGTAGCCTACCAAGGCTGTCGAACAAGTTACGAAGCAGGAGATTGAAAATGGCGGGACACTGCATCAGACATCCTGAGCTACTTGTCAGTGATTTAGTCTTATGGAAACCTACGCAAGTACGCACGGTTATATAGAGCACAGCAAGGCCGACCAAGACAAAACTACTTCAACTTGTCTATGTTACTGAAGCCGAAGGAAATTGGGACAAACTCTAAAGAGGAACTGCGAACCCTGCTGCGGGACAGGGATATATGAAGTAGCTAGGCCAGGGGGTTATCTGGCGTAGATCGGACTTAGTTCCAACATAGTATGTAGTAGTAGTAGTACTAGTACTACTACTACTAGTAGTAGTATAACTTATACTACTACTAGTAGTACTACTACTACTACTATGTTGGAACTAAGTGGAACAAGTTTGTCATGTTGGCGGGGACTAGCTCATGAACTATGTTGTTGAGTGCCATAATTTCGTTGACTTTTTGACCCTTGAAAACATCATATACTAGTAAAGTTTTTTGTGCCTTCGGCAGACCAAGGAGAACATTTCCGTCATTAACATACGGCACAATAAAGTTCTCATAGTTGTCATATTCTGGACAAAAAGTTCGAAGTGGAAAAAAAATCAACAGACTTTAAATTGGACGGACCTTAAATGAACGGACTTTATTTGAACGGACATTAAAATGAATGTAAAGACCTCCATGCAGCGTTCAATTAATGTCCGTCCAAATAAGGTCAGATAAGGTAGTTGCTTTCATATTCTCACGTACAGGGGTGCCATGCCGGCCCATAGTGCAAAGAAACTGCTGCTAGCTGCTGAAAATGGCGCGCAGTTAGCAGCAATCAGCAGCAGTTTCTTTGCACTATGGCACCCCTGTGCTCTAGGCAGATTTATCAAATTCAAAGGATATCGAAAGAATTTAGTTTCTAGTAAAGTCTAGTAGAGTCTAGACCATGCCTTACAGCAGGGACCAATAATTAAGCATACTAACGTGTTTTATTGTCAGGTATGTAGGGGAGGGTATGGAAGAGTCAGAGTTCACAGTTGCCGAAGAAAGCATTACGGAACTTATTAATGTGAGTTGATTATATAATCTCAATAGTAATACTGATTAGAACCTGTAAGATTGGCCTCCAGCTCGCCATTTTTGAGATTCAAGCAAATCGAGGATGTTCGAAGAATGCAGGATGTTCAGCTCGACAAAATACCGACAGAAATTATAATTTTGTTATAGGCCCTAAAATTACTCTTCCAGATCCAGTCGTAGTCTTACCCTTCAATTGGATATACTAGCTCTGATACGTCCAATTAGCTTTAAGTTTAATACCTCAAATTTTCAGTAAGCATCAGTACGTTACGTGATCGAGATCACTGCACATTCAGTTTCACAAAGTTTTATTCAAAAAGGACGTTTAGTCTTGATAGTTTTACTCATTTTCAGGAATACGAAGAACTGAGTACTGCGTGTGAAGAGGGTGGCGATGATAGTTATTAAACTTAAACGGGGAAGTTTTTAGCACGATGCGCTACTTGAGTACTGGGCCGCGCATCAAATAATTCTTCTTTGTTTTTGCAACCTCGGTAGATCGGCGAGATGCGCCACTAACTGGGCCTCGCCGAGCTGCGAAGGATTGACATCGTGAATCAAACGGGGAAGAAGAACTGAGATATTGGTATACTCATACTTATAGTTACAAGTTAGGGGCTTATTTACCAAAGGCAAATATTTTTTATTGAGGTTTCCCAAAAGGTGCTCAGACTTACTGCTGCAACAGCTAGATGTAGTGATGTAATACTGAATCGATTATTATATTCATAAGACCATATCTTACCGTCTGGCCCACTAGTATCCTACCACATACTTTACGGGTGAGATTAGATTTGGATCCCTATTCGTGTAAGTTCACGAACGTTGATTTCGTTTTTTACGGTAGTACTAGTAGTGTTAACAGTTTTGGTACAAACATTTGTACTTAAAGTTAAACTCTTATCTTTACCATTAATGATATTCTAACGGCTAACCCCAACACTAACCATAAGCTTCATACCTAAACAGCCGAACTAACGTTTTAGATTTACAAGCCTGCCACGTGTGCGAGTCTGATAAGAATAATGTTTTTGCTCACATCTCCTCAGGGAAGGATTTTTTAACTGAATGTCATGGGGGTGATTCTGAATTAGCGTCCAAAAACACACTGATCTAGCTTTAACTTTCATACCCTCCGGGCCATTCCACAAAAATAAAAGTTTATGTACATAGCACTTCTCAGATGGGCTATTACAAGAACAAAGATTTAAGAAACAGCCTCAAATTCAAAATACATATGTATGTCTATATATTAGTATTACGGTCCGAGTCGTAATATAATTTGCGTTGACGAACAATATTATATATGTCGGCAAGGAGCAAATCTATTTTTAACTTGTATGTTGTATGACGTTACTGGGCGGCGCTCGGCCTTTCATTCCGCCGAATCTTTATGAACATAATAGCCTGGGGTCCCCAGCTAGGTAAGTATGACGATGCCCTACCATGAGGCCATATATAATATAATAATAATATTTCTGTTGTATATTGGGGACTGACTTGTACATATTTTCTTTAAAAGTAGCTTTCCACTTTCAGTAAGCCATAAGCCCATGATGAGATATTATTTTCATTTCAGCTAAATAAGTTGTAGGTGTTGACCGAATATTTGTAGCACACGGCCGTACGCGGTTAAATTTATTTTGTATTTGGGTGAGCTGAAATTATTTAAATTATATTCCCAGATTTGAATTAATTTGTATTATTGATCATTTAATGCAGTAAAGAAATTATCTCAATTAATAAGGGTTAGGTTAATTAATGTATTGATCGTTACTTCAAGGTGTTATATTGCATATTGTTTACATTTTTGCACAAGAAGGAAAATAAATTGTACATCATCAAACTAAACATGTTATTATCACCCAAATATTTTAAAACATTTTATCACCACATCATAACTTCCATTATCAACTACGAAGAGAAAATAACACGTGACGTCATCAGTCATCACAGGAAATGTCGTCACGGCACAGTGTTAACTCACCACAAATTTTCAACAAATTGACCACTACGAGTAAGTTAGGTAAAATAGATGGTCGTTTGGCATATTTACAGATCGCTTTACAAGCTCAGAGGACATTTTCCCGCGAGAAAATTTTCCCGGGAACTTTAAACGGCATCAAGACAAGAATTCCCAGAATTGTATGTGAGGAGGAGCCGAATGAACTGAAATGAGCGGGCTTTACTTTCGTGAACAAAATATGATTCCGATAAATTTAACAATCTATAAATTTAATTTCTGGTCGAACGTCGTGCCCTGATGTGAACCGACACGTGCTGATCTTACAGTTACTGTGATCTGTTATTAATGGAAAATTATAATCATAACAGTCAGCTATAATAGTCGTGATATGGTTTTAGCGTACGAAAATTCAATATGATGCATTTCCTCACGCTTCAAATTTAATCTTCGTTCAATAAATCACGCTCAAAAAGCTACTGTTCACAAGCCCCATTAAAATAATTTAAATAAAATGGCCGACCCATGAACACCCCACCAGAATGAAGAAATTTAAAAGTTAACGATCCTAATTACCAACGACCCATAAGAAAGGAGGAAATTCCAATCATTTCGATTTCTACTAACGAACAGTTCAGTCCAATCTGATTAGTCAGAAGAATACCTTAGGAACTCTGTTCAGAACACTAAAATTCAGGGTTTAAACCTCAATAGTTTAGATTAAACAAGATTTAAAGAACATTGGAACCAGCCCAAATATTCATCTAAACAGTCGTTCTTCCGTACTAAGTCCACACAAATATTCATTTCTGGTTCCCTTTTTCTCCGCTGTAATGCAGCTGATCCCTAAAATTCAAGAAAACTCGGCCCTGATCTTAATTCCAATTAGAATTAAATATAAATTCGTTATCTATTAGTTCATGCAGTCCTACTCATTCGGCAATTTATTCTACGAAATAAAGCTCGATATTTTCACTAGACTCTGGAGGCGCTACAAAAGCCCAGAATTAGAGATATTACAAGTGTATCCGAGTTAGAGATATGACAAACTTGTATCCAAGGGTGGCTAGAGAGAAGGCATTGGGTGTAACGAGGAATTGATTCTCTTACTAAACACACTAAATATTATAATCGCGAAATCTAAACATATGGACAGAATGCATCTAAATGTAAAATTTGCAAAAAATATGGGACTTCATCATTAAGTAAGTACTGACATATATAGGTACTACTCAATACTACCTCATTTTAGACAAAATTATCGGGGAGGGCTTCCGGGAAAGTCTATATCGATAAAATCGTAAATAATTATATGATATGTCATAATATGTTAAAATTTAACATATTATAATTAACATATTATAACATATTTATGGAAATTATGTTATATATCTGAGTCCAAGCTACTCGATTGTATATTGTTCGGTGATGACGGAGATCTCAGAGCTGAACGGCGCGCTTTTCTCAGTACCAGCTAACATTACTCCCCGGATCTGAAATTAGTTGAGTGATTAATTAATTAATTAAGTATTTGTGTTGATTTGATCTATTAAGTTATGTCAGTACATCAATCCTGGAACGAAAATAAACATCGCAGATCAATGAAAAGTAAGAAATAGTTCATCACTGCAATCACAAATAAAATCTAATTCTGAATTAAAATGGATTAAAACTTCATACGATAATATTAAATTATAGCCTCCATACCTTCATATCACAGAAAGGTCTGTTCATGTTAAAGTTAACATTGACAGGGTAAAATGAGTCCGCGGTGCCGGGGGCACTGAACTCGAGAGTCCCGTTACTGTTGGTCTTGTCCACGAGTGGCAGAGACCACTCCAGTACACCATGTGAGTGGGTGTAACTACCGTCACATTGGGCCACGTTCAGGGCTCCACCTTGGGTACTAGGGGAATTTGAGAGTTAATTAGGAGTTAATTATGAGTCAATTATGAGTTAATTGTTGTAGATTCTGTTGAAGTGTGACAGAAACTAACAAATAAGCTTCTGTATTATTGACCAATCAAACCGCATAATTACTATCACTTGTCAAAATGAATTAGTCACTTTGGCTGTATGTCTTGCATAAGTTTCTTTTAAATATTCCAATAGGTGGTATAATTTGTAACTAAACATTCGGGACATATCATTGCATGGAAGAACGCATCAATCACCAGAAAAATCAAAATAGTTCTTTTCCGTAGAATCATATACCTCAGCTAGGATCTGTAAAGACCGACTAAAATTAAAGCAACAAAGTATTTAATAAAGTATTTAATAACAAAGTATGTAATATTAGAGGATAAACCTGACGGGAATTGAGACCAAGACGTTGAAAAGTTCGAGATTGTGATCCTGAAGTTCATACTCAATGTTAACGTCACATCCTTGAGCCGTCTCGCTCGGCCAACAGTTTACTGTGGAAAAGAACGTTATAATTTGTTTATTATTAAAATTTATTTATTTAGTTATGTAAATTTTAAAAAATGTTCCTTCGTAATTCGTTAACATTTTTTGACGGTATGTGGGCGTGATTAATGCGTAATGAATTCGATCACGCAACGAATTCCGACTTTTACAGGTGTCAAAGATTTAACTTTTTACAAGAATTTCTTAGACATACTGTTGTCAGCATAGATGGATATTTATTTTAGACAAACATTATGCCATGAAAGACAAACCCTTGTCAAAATAAGGCCATAGGCAAATTCATAGATCGGCAGCTTGACAGAATCTTTATGCTGTGTCGTGAGTAAGAAATCGGTTACGTGAATTGTGACGATAGTGTATGTCATCGGACGGGGTTGGTTGGGCGACGATCTTCGGGCGGATCAGAACTATCAGTTTTCAGGGCTGTATTTGTCTAATTTTTGAAGCATCAAATTGGTAGGCCAGGGGCACAGAACATAATAAGTCAGCTGAGTTCGAGTTTTTTCCCCGAACAGGAAAAAATATTCGACACCTGTCGTCTGAGAGACTAACTGGGAGTGTACGAGAAGAAGACAGGAATCTGGGAAGGAGGAGACCGTAAATCGGATGATCGTCGGGCGATGTTCTTGTTTGCCAATAAAGATGAAAAATTTTCAAGTATTTTCCGCAGGGGCTGTGGTTATAAGATGGAACTTACATTTAATACAATTACAGGTTACAAGCTTGGGGGAAAGACGAAACGTTCTTCTCCATAGTTACTAAATTACCAAAGACCTTCAGGGACGCAAACGTATTAGTTTGATACTACATACAGGGTGAGCCAAAAGTCAGTGGGCATACGTTTGCCTTAATAGCTCAGTCATTCGGCATTTCAAGATTAGCAGTATTTCTGCAGTATCTATATTTCTTAAAATAGACCGTCTTCCTTTCTATTTTAAGAAATATGGATACTGCCAATATTGCTGGGCGATCCTCGTGATAGATTTTTCTATCTTTAGTCACGTCAGCAAAGACTGATGCTCATACTGATACCTCATACGAATATACTGAGCCTCCTCATCGCTATTTCTGCTTCCAATTAGCAATTCTGCCTGGTCATTGTGAAATCAGCTCGAGTTTTTCAGGTTTTTTTTGTTGTTGTTGTTGAATTTTTTAAAGAGTTATTTTAACATTTTGTTATTAAGGATGTCCCACGTCAGTTAATTTGATAACCAGATAATATGTCATTAATATAACTCATTTAAGGGGGGATAAGCAACGAATATGTTTTACTGCCAATCATTTACCGCTCTTCAATGTTCATTCAAAACAACTCAAAATTGTATATCCACCCCAGTATTTTAGCATTTAAAGACAACTGATAATCTCTAACAAATTGATCGTTTATTTATGCTATTGATTGCACGTGATCATCTTCCCCTTAATTGTAGATCAGTCACGATAAAAAAGACCCATAAGAACGCCCTGTATTTCCTCCATGCCATAGTAACTCGGATAAATCCAGTAAATATCCTAAATATAGGGCTTATATCGTGTCCCTGTCTGTGCAAAGTCAGTCCACAAATCTGCTGAGTGCAGCCTTGGACTGCCCTGTAAGACATTTTCTGATTTGTCCGGATTCTCCTGACCAAGAAACATCAAAATGACAAGATGTACCAGAATGGATGTTTTACCTCTGGGACAACTTTTCGTTTAACACATTTGTAGACATCTGAACGAAGCAAGCAAGATAGCAAGATTCTATAAAGCCCATGAATATTCCGTAATGTTCATACATGTTCTTTTTAGATAGAAGAGAGATTTAAGTCTGGGTAAATTATAAAAAATTCGTAGACATTTGGAATTAGCCTATTTATAGGCGTTATTTAAAAATATCTCACATTGTTCATAAATTAAGGCCATATTTGTAAGTTGTGGAAGCCATATTTAAGATAACTCAGATTTAACAATGGGAAGGCACGCTTCTGCAGCCGAGGCAATTCCTAATTTTTGCTAACTTTAAACTTTTATCTCCTCCCAATTTAGCTCATGATAAACACTTCGTGAGAAAAGGACAGAAATTATTTTATTCACTTATGTTATGGCTAAACATAATTTCCCTTTGGCCTAATTTACGAAGTTAGGCAAGAGTGTGAAATCTACGTGAACATGCGATGTCGCTGAGTCAGAGAATTATATAAATTAAATTAGAACCCCAATGTTGATAAGCAGCAATAAGTTTGACCATACCAATTTTCCTGGGAAATACTTGTTGCTCCTGATCGTGGAGACAAGGTCCCAGTTGCAGTATATGTCCGCTGGTCCGCCCCTTTCCGACGAATGACAGAGTGGAAGTTGTTAAACTGCTAGTAGGTTTTAAGTCTTGCAGGACTAATCCAATTGGAAGTCCTGGTCAGATTAATCTTATCACCCCTTAATTAATTAATTAACAGAACAATAATTGATAATTAACTTATGCATTTTTGAAAGTTTTGAGGTTCAGCACGTACGTAGCAATGGTTTATGCAGCCAAATGTTCAGGGCAACTCTATGGTCGTTGGCATGATATGAACAAGCCTTGATCTCGGGAGATACAAACCTGCACTGATAAGGGTTGGTCCTACTTAAGGGAAGACCCAGTTCGAGCCTTCTATTGATTCCCTTCTAGTGCAAATTAAACCCACGCAAAGCTGACACACGAGGTATATTTTGCTGTTTTACCGTATTTTAAGAAACTGATTTGGCATTTAAATTTAGTGCGCTTCTAAGACTGAGAGGAGAATTAATAAACTTTTAGGGGTTCTTGTATTTGTGCTGTTCATTTCGGTAGGAACTCTGTGAGGGATATGAATACAAAATCCACCACACTCTAAGAAATAGACAATTGCACAAAAAAGCTCGAAAATTCTTGAGAATTCCTCTAAGACTACCAACTTCAAGGCTTGACAGGGGGGCATTTCCTAATTACCTGCTTCGCCAACTTCATGAAGGCTCTAATAGATAAAATATTTTCCTAAAATAAGTGAACACGCACACCATATGATTTAAAACAATTCCCCAAATCTCATCACCGCGCGTTAATTTCACTACTTGAAACCTTCCCTTCACCCTGATGACCAGAAGAATCGATCCAGAATCCCTTCTCCTCTAACCCTAAAGCTGTGAAAACTCAATCCTAACAATTCATTAATCCAGTTATCTTCATCGCCTGCACGTCGTAATAGCATTAATCAATTTTCCAGCCCTCGCAATGCGATTTGGAGAACATTGTTGCGATAAAGGTAAGTTGAGCGTGAATGAACTGATCACGTGACCAAAATAACGGGCCACGTGATACGAAAGTTGAGGATTGGTTGGCCGAGAGGAGGCTAATGGTCTAGGGGTTAAGGTTCTCGCCATAAATGTACATCCGTAGTTCGGACACTGTTACCGATTTTTTAGCTCCCTCGCTATTTTCTCATCCTTAGCTCTCGCTCATATTCAGTTTAGCGTTATCTTAACTTAATGGACAATGATTAATCTAATTCTATTGTAAGCTGGGGAGTGGGGAGAGATTCAGTCGTTTTATAAAGCCAGGACCATAACGGGATTTAATTCGCCGTTTCTTTCATTGCTTTTTTATTCGAGCATGGCATGGCGAGCTGGATTCCACGCATCGTGCAACATACGAGGTTTCAAGTCTTATTAATATAATCTTCCTCCTTTTAACAACTCGCCTCATTCCTGCCCTCTTCTCGATTCACAAATTCTTGACCGAGCAAATTCTTGAATTAGCAGATCACGGAGGTGTGTGACGTTAAAGGAAGGGCTGGAAGTGCACAGACTAGCTGATATTTAAGGAACAGTCCCACTGAGAGGAACACAGGCTGGGCGATGTTGCCGACAAGCCACCAATTTGACACGTATCTTGCTCTTCCTGTCAATTAACTTTTTAATGTGCTTTTAATGTCTTCTAGATGTTCATTTTTACAGATATAATCGCGAATATAGTGTGGTGTATTGGCAGCCAAATTTTATTGTAACTTTTAGAACTTTGAGGAGGGCTTTAATTTGATCGGTAGAATTTAAGTATTTAATAATATATAAAAATATACTATATAATAGTATTTTGAATGTTTATAAACATTCAAAATACTATTATATACTGCTAATAAGCGATATCATGGGACATTTTGACAGCATGGCCGGCGGCTTTTTATAGCATTTTGGATTTCTGCCATGAAGACCATGAGAAGCTGTTAATGAATAAATGAAAAGCTCGTGAACCATGCATGGAAAGGCCCAGATGGAACAAAACGGCCAGTGTATTTTAAGACGTGAATTTTTCGGAGAGCTAGCTATCAGCAGATTCGGGGTTGCAAAATTCAGCACAGGAGTTAATTCTGCTTAATCTAATTTAATAGCCTCTGAGACCTGAGTAGCCTCTGGTTTCCGGGTGCTTACGAACGCAACAGTTACAGTTTCTACAAGGATTTGCAAATTTTAATTTGTGCTGAGGCACAAACAGAGAATAAGCAATGAATTAACTGCTTATCACATAAATAGGGCGTATCGAATTTTCTGTTATCAAAATATTTGAACTAGATTAAGAAATGTGTCCGCGCCCACTAGATTAAATAAGTAATTTGTAAACCGCTGCTGGGGTTTTTTTTGTACTTTCAGTCATCAGATTTGCGAATTTAGTTTAAATCACGATACTCGAGTATAATTTATGATGATGTGTCTTTGGGCCTCATCTATTTTACCTTTTTGGTTTCAAATACGGCTTAACATGAAAAGCATCGTTTTAAATATTGAATGGACGATTTTCCAGAAACCTCCACTATTTCACAACTGATATTTATAACCCTCAATATAGGTTGGTCCCCCCATGCCTGCCATGGTTCGAGTACTATTTGCTCTTTTCCTTGAAGTGTGTCTCGTCACACTCTCCGTCCAACGCCCTGCCTCCGCGTAAGTACGAAAAAGGGAACACGTCATCATTTCATCTTGTCATCATTTCATCTTGTCATCATTTCATATTGTCATCAATTCATCTTTTCATATCATTTCATCTTGTCATCATGATAATTTAAACCTCGTAACTTAGTCTGACAACTATTAAAAGGTATCGATCCGTCTTATTCAAAAACGCGTCATCAATAGAACATTATCTATAGATTAAGGAACAGGAAAGTTCTAGATGAAATGATTCCCAGCGGAATGTATAATACAAGGTGGCCTAGAAACTAACCGCATGCTCGACTAATACTTGCACATGCAGCAAAGAAGAATCACATTCCGAATTGCAACAATAAGTTAATTCTATGCCACCCCGATAATGGAATTTGTGGAATTTACCGTTCGATTTTTCAGGAACGTGAACTATGAAATAGTGTGTGAAATACAGTCTGATGGAACGTGCAACCTCGTCATAGAGCCCAGACAGGGGAAAGACCCTCAAAACGGTAGGCTGAAAGAAGCAAGGTGGAACAAATTTCGAATATAATTAGGTCAAATGACAGTTCAGGGTCGTGATTCGAGCCAGCCTAAGAGTAGCATAATCACGTTTGTATTGTATTAAATTTACGAATAATAAATAACAATTCCAGAAATAGAAGTAGTGGCAGATAGTAGTGTTGTAAGGGTAGCACAGGGCCAAGATGTCGCGCTTATATGTTTCATCAACACAGAACACGACCTGGCGACCATCGACAGAGTATTCTGGTATAAGTAAGTATTTCACTTTCATTTTCACTATAAGTAAGTATTTCACTTTCACTTTCACTTTAAGTAAGTATTGTTTTCACTTTCACTATAAGTAAGTATTGTTTTCACTTTTCAAGGCCTTTTCAGATCAAAATTAACTAATTAAGATATCTAAAACTTGGGTTGAACTGAGGAGTTGTTGGTAGATCAGTGTTTATAACGATTAATGTTCCAGATACAAGAATACCGGAGAGTGGGTGAGGCAAAACCGCCGAACAGCATTCAACGGGGACGAAATGAGCATCAACATCACAGTGCGACGTGATGCCAAATACAGGTCAGTAAAATTATATTAGCATACATTATCGTTACATGCATATTTTAACTGACATTACGACTTCAACTCAAGTCTTACGTTTCTTTCTCAAGCTCATTAAACAGACCGTCCGTTATATTCGGATTTTATTGCAGTTTCCACACTGATTAAGATCAAAGCTGTAGAAATTACCATCATATTTTCGCAGATGCAAAGCCTGCTACGAGGACAGCTGTACATCTGCTGACATCAACGTTCAAACAGGAGGGAGAAGGCGGAGGAGCACGTAGGAGGTTGTTAGGTGATTAGTTACCAATTAGTTACCAATTAGCTGTTAATTACTTACTAGTTAGGTACTAATTGGCTATTTTCTGCTGATTGGTTATTTCTAGGCGATATTAGGAGATTGTGAAAATTATCTGTTATCAGCTTCGGAACTGATTGCCTTTGTGAGTAGTTACCTTTTGCTGAAAACGTAGAAGGCAAATCAGCATGATTCAATTTATTTTAAAATAAAGTGACTGTGTTTTGACCTCAAAAAGGGGCAACCAACAAATTTATTTGTGATATTTTCAAACATAACAAACGAAAAACATTTTACCAACGAAGACTGTTTTTATCGAACGACTGAAGAATTAAATTTTAATTTCCATCTTTTGTGATGGTTTAACAAATAATTTTTATATTTCAATAATGATTTAATTCAACAAAAGTAGATATATTATGACAATTATCAAACGAAAAGATTTTATCTAAGCTTGATGAAACTCTCACAGCATTATTTTCCGCCAAAATTTATATCTTGGCACAAATTTTCACTTTAAGTCGATTAGTATGTTAGGTAGGAGTCCTTAGCTAATTCTGGATTTCTTAATTACACGTTGTTTTTGAATAAAAACGTAAGTTTACCACACTGATAAAGTGCATGAATTATGCACTATGCAGGCCTACATTTTATCTAGTAATAGTGATGATGTGATTGTTTATGTAATGGATGTAATTTTTATTTCAATCATTTGAAAATTCAATTTATTTCCTTGCGTTTAATTCGGAAAATTGTGCATTCCTTTAATTTGGTTGTAATTGTTTCTTTTAGTGACGTCATTGCGACTGAAAAATTATTCCGATAAATTTATGGATTTGTCGGAAAAGAATTCGGCGGGTTCGATGACGTCATATTATGTCATATTACGTCATTGAACGACATATACATTGTACAGATAAAATTGATATGGTGTGAGAAATCAATATTCTAACTCTGATTGTAACATATTATTAACATTTAACATATATTAAAAAATATGTGGTACTGCTTATCGCAAATCAAGTTACGTGGTTAATGTTTAAAAATGTCTGGATTATTATTTCATTATTCTTATCTTATTAATAGGCCTCGTACATATTTGCCGAATTAAATAAGTCGTGATAAGGGATGTCTATGAAGGGTCCCTGAAATGTGAAATAATAGGCACACAACATAATTGGTTATCTAAATTAGATTAAATCTGGAGCACTTGTTTTGCAAGAATGGTGGATTAAGATCACTAATGTTTCACAAGGTATTTTTGTAGAATGTTCTGTGCGCTGTGGAACTGTAACTGTAACTGCATTTCTTCTGTTGTGTTCTGAACATCAATAAGTGATAACATTAGCACTAAACATTAGACTAAACATTTCTATGTTTTCTCGTATATTTTCGTAGGAACAATACTTTATGCTACACATGTCACATAGTAAGCTGACAATTTTAAACTGTAACCAGTTTCGGTGGAATTCCACCGTGGAATTTTAAGGTACTGTGTCCGGCTTCTTGGATTCTGCCTGATGAGCATACTAAGATTCCAGGTATGCTCCAGGCAGAATGGGACCCATTGTCAACAAGGAGTACCTTGCCTTTTCTACCAAATCTCACGGAAATAGAAGTTTTGTTTGCGATAGTAAACGAAATTGTTATAGTTTTAAAGATCTACAAGTTTAGAAAAAAGTGAGGTTGGAGAGAGGATAGCAAGAGGATACTTTGCCTGTCTCTAGGTTGCTGGTTGAGGCATCTTAAAAGAAGAAACTGGGGCAGTACCTAGTGTTAGAGGAGATTACCAAGGCCACAGTCTCCTGTTATAAAGTAACTGCGTTTCTGTATAAATCTGTCTTTGGTGTGCTGAGGTCGCTGTTGTATAATGTATCTAAGAAGCGACGTATTTATTTCCTCAAGTGATCTTGATGCCCGTTGAGGGACCACTCTTCATTCTATCGTCGGGTTAATTTATCGGTCGTGGCGGATTCATGGTAGCACCAAGTTTGGATAGTTCATCGGCCTTCTTATTTCTGTTGAGCGGCTATCCGCCAGATCTTCGGTGAGTTGTTTGCTCCAAGAGTACCGGGGCAGTTATAGCAATCTCTAGCAGGTCTGCTCCTCGTTGTGACCGACAAGAAAGTTTGCATCTATGAGAGACTGTCAGTCCATATTATGATGATATTTTGGTTGTTGTAGATAGGTAAGTTGGGCTGAAGCATCTCTGATTGTTTTGAGTTCGGTACGGAAACGTGATGTTTTTAAAAGTTTGTGATTTGGTTGATGAATGTGATCATGATGAATTATAAGAGGCCAGGCAGAATGAACCAATGATTTCAGATGTAGGTCTTATTAAGGTTCAAACTTTAGCAGGTGTATCATGATTCATGGTTGTCAGGGTTCAAAAGTTCGGTCAGAATCCTAGTTTGTTAGTGAACTCTTATCTCGAAATCAAGTTTCATACGTATTGTATATAAACATATAAGGATAAACCTAAATGCATCATTTATATGTTCATGTGACAAAGCGTCCAAAAACCTATGAAAAGATCTACGAAAGGTTACAAAAAATGATATATACATTTTTTCTACCGTTATTAAATCTTCTTCAAACTATAGTTGGACCGTAGTTGGGTTTACTACAGATTAGTTGGTTTACTCCTTACAGAATTGAATTTTAGATTGGCTAATCCTCCGTGCAGCGTAAATAGTTAATATAATTTAGCACGTCATAATTCTGTTCAACTGTGTAAAATTTGATTTATTTAATTAAATATTAATAATTAATTTAATACTAAAAGCAAATTTAGAAAGCTTACTTATAAGAGGTAGGTCCTCTGAATCGTTAGATTGAAACCTCCATTTTAATACTCCAACATCCGTGTTTAGAGGGAACGGTCGTCCCGCTTGTTTCATAGCGACAACACCGTTCTCTTGGAATCCTCTCTTGTCAATATTTGGATGAGTCTGAAAAGGGATGGCTTAAAAAGTTGCAGCACATTGCACAATATAAATCAATAAGCGAAAAATTTGGTGACCAAATTTTGCTAAGAAGTCGCTTCCTTTATTGTACTCGAACAAATATCCGTGATGAAAAACAATCTTAAGCCTAGCCTAGTCTGGCAATAATATTTTGTTTCTTGTTAGGATAGTTCCATACCACATCTTACATCATCCCCGAGGACCTCCTTACCTGAATTTGAATCTGTCTTTCCTCGTTGTTGTCCACGTTAACTTGCACACAAGCCAGTTCCTGATCGGTGACGTGAAGACAAAGAAGCCCCCTAACTTCAAATTGTTCGACGTCACCTTCGCGGTGTATCGAGGCGAGGATTTTCTCTTCTTGCCGTAAGTGCAGTGGAGACGTTGATGCTCTGAGAAATTGTCGGGTAAAAGGAAGAATCCAGACTAGGCAAGTTTTTATTGTTGTTGAGTTGGCATATTCCGAGAAAATAAACGAAGAGATGCTTTCAGCTTTTAGTTTTAAATTCAGCAGCACATACTCGTTACCTAGGAGTGCTGTTTTCATTAAACAGGGGACACCTAGAGTGAGCAACATGAAGCTAAAATAAAGATTATTCGTACTGTACAGTGTACAATACAAGATACAACAATACAAGTGTACGTAAAGTAAAGAAGTAATAGAAACTGTTAAGTCACGTACAGGTTCAACTACACTTAATTTCAATAATCTGTTCTCAAATTCATGTAAAAGAAAATGAGAGCCCAATCAGAAACTTACGTCACAGCAGAAGGTCTGACAGGCTCTGCCACTGATATCTTGTTGGAATCCTTGACCACGCCACCGTCCTTTCTTATGCTGTCAACGAACGTGTCGATATCTGCACTTTTCCTTCCCAACTTCATTCCTTTACCGGCGGGCCTGAAACATTGTAGAGATTATAAATTTTACACGGCTGAGGAATTCAAAGAATAGCAATTTTTATTTGTCTGTGATTAGAAATCAACGACTGATTACAGTTAAAATTACGTTTGTTAACTGACTATTCATACATGCTATGGAACGAGTACTCATATGATGTGGCAGACGCGCGCGTTCCCAAAAAAGATTTGCGCGAAAATAAGTTTGCTCTTTATGACTGTGTGTTTGTGCGCGTTACAGAAAACAAAGCACATTTTGCCAAAGACAGTATTTCAGTGTGTGACTCGGTTGGGCAATAGGTGAATATTACCAGTTTTATGTCTTACTTGGGTCTAGAAGGCTGCACTGGGGTTGGAGTAGGCATAGCCATTTCTGTTTGCGGGGATGGTGTGATGGGAGCAGAGTTATTAGAGTTACCGATACCTGAAGAGTTGTACTTTTGTCAATTTTGTTATACAATCGTTCTAGTTTGCAATGGAACTAATTTACATACAGTGACACACAATGGATAGCGTCCATTTCTAACCCCCAAATAAATTGTCTTAACCAACTTCCCCAGGTTTAGAGAAGTACTTTTTATAACAAACCTGTACTGTAAGGGGTTTTGCCTGCTCTCTGAGCCTCCATTCTCTGTCTTTGTAATTCTTTGGCTTTTTTCTTCATTTCCTCCTTCGCTTCTCGTTCTTGCGTCTGAACAGAATCTTTTTAGATAATATCATTCTAATTTTAAAATCTTATAACGATCTTAGGACACGTATAATAGGTAAGAACTTCCTCAATAAATGTAATAAATTTGTAGTGTTGTAATCAGTTTAACCTTTTAAAACACCTTAAATCATTATGGTAACTTATATCTCCATGTTCACGATTAAACCAGCTTATTAATAGTGTGTAGGTGACGTAACTATCTTCCCACACGGAAACAGGAAGTATATAATATCATTAATTATTATAATTATTATATAATGCTCCCAATCGCAAAGAAATATACATCAACTCCCCACAAGAAGACAGGTTAATTTACTAATATTTGATTTAAAACTTGGAAAACATTAATAGTAAATACCTTATTTTAAGTTCCTTAAGAATAGTATAACTACCTGTCTGACTGCTTGGTATACTTTCTCGTCGTGGCTGTCCATTTCAGTGAATGTTTTTATTTGGGCTAAGTTAACATTTTCTCTGTACCCTAACGCTACAATCTCGTCAAAAGCGAAGATAAGCTGGAATACGTTTTCTGATACTTCTTTCTCGTCGATGTTCCTACAATATTCTGGTATCTGAAAAGATAGATGATGATAATGGACAGTCTATGTTACATAGCAACATCTTTATAGACATAGAACAAAGTGCTAATCATAATATAAAATAAAGAATCAGGCGTAGTGACGATCAGTCTAAATTTCGAACTTGAAACACATTACACAGCGATCATACTTAATTACAACTAAAATAAACAAATTAATCTCACCACTCTGGCAAAAAGTCGTAACGTCTCCAAATCCTCCAGAATATTACTTGACTTTGTGGTGATTAAAACTATGTAGAGCTTATCAAGGGGCTGATAAACGTATCTGACGCTCTCTGTTTCGATGAAGGTATGCTGCTTGTCCGTTACTATCAGTTTGGGGAACGCTGATAGGAGTCCTTCTATTCGAGATTTCGTCATCTCGACGAACTGACGCGATAACAGCACTGTGATTAGACATGATTTCGTTAGAAGATAATGTTGTTATTAGACATGATTTCGTTAGAAGATAATGTCGTTATTAGACATGATTTCGTTAGAAGATAATGTTGTTATTAGACAGGATTTCGTTAGAAGATAATGTCGTTATTAGACATGATTTCGTTAGAAGAAAATGTTGTTATTAGACAGGATTTCGTTAGAAGATAATGTTGTTATTAGACAGGATTTCGTTAGAAGATAATGTTGTTATTAGACAGGATTTCGTTAGAAGATAATGTCGTTATTAGACAGGATTTCGTTAGAAGATAATGTCGTTATTAGACAGGATTTCGTTAGAAGATATTTATGTCGTTATTAGACAGGATTTCGATAGAAGATAATGTTGTTATTAGACATGATTTCGATAAAAGATAATGTTGTTATTAGACAGGATTTCGATAGAAGATAATGTCGTTATTAGACATGATTTTGTTGATTGATATTGTCGTTTATATTACACAAGATTGTCGAGATTTTGTCATCTCGATGAACTGACAGGGTAGCATCACTGCAATTGAACAATTTGAATAAAATATTTCTGCTTATTTAACGATAATATTTTTAGCTTGATATTATATTATGAAATCGCTGGAATAAAGTTCTCAGAGAAATGATTTAAAGGTAAATCATTTTTAAGATTAAGATTATAAATCAATTTTGCATAATTAAACAGAAATAACATACCATTTCCTTTGCGGGTACAAACAGAGGCCGCAAGGAGAACCATTGAACACTAGTTGCCTCTCCGTGTGTCTTGCAGCTAATCAATATTTAGAAGATGAGAGCTAGTAAAGTAATATCATATTAGAATTTAAATTATTTTACCATGGGACCAAAAGCAGAATGTTGTTCAATAGTTTAGGTCAAATTAATAAAATAGTCGTCATCTGAAATTTCGATACAATAAGCAGTAAAATCCATTGTTTTCTAAACTAGAATAAAATCATGCAAAATAAGAATAAACAATTTTATTTGATAACTGTTATCAATAAGTTAAAATGTATGGAAATAATTTGGGTCATTATTGAGATAAAAAACAATATGAATAACTTTAAAAACAATCTGATCAATTTGCAGTCAGGTGGATGAAAAATGTTTAAAAACAACTGTAAAATCCAGAATTCTCTGGCTAAGAACATAATTGGCAATTAAACATACAAACTTGGATAATATAAAGATCATAACAATTGTATAAAACGAAGATTTCTATCAAATTTATTAATAATATTATTAGAATTAGGTGGAGGTGAGTGAGATAAACCATCCACAATTAAACAAAACAAGTCGTTATAGAAACAGCGTGACTTTTAAATTTCTAATCACTTAATTAATGATCTGAGTAAGTCAAAACGGGCAATTAAACTTGCCAAACCAACTGAAATTTAAAGTAAATTAAAACAACTTTTATTTGATCGATAAGTTATAAGTTAAATGGTCAATTAATTAAAAACTGGCTGGAATGAAAATACGAAACAGCATAGTGCATGCTAATAAAATAATTATAATTTAATAACGGCTAAAAATGGATCGTAAAATATAATTTGGTCAGTTCCTGAGCTGTTGATAATCAAAAATAAATTCGAAACAAAAATTTGTTTAATTGAAAACCCTAAATTCATAAATCATAACATATCAGCTCATATATGGATCAATTGTATGATTTAATATGTTCATTGTTCAAGGGAAGACAATACCACTGGTTTCAACAAACTGCACAATCTTTTCATACTCCGCAAGTTTGTTCTTATACAGCTCAACATCCCTCTCCCAAACTATCTTCTTCTTTGTAACTTGAACTTCTGTTCCTGTTATCTTGAGTGAGTAATGTCCTTCACAATGCTTTTCATCAAATATCTTCAAAAACTGTGCAGGTGAGTCCAAGTGGAAATTGTAAACTTCCTCGGGGCTATGTAAGAAATCTACCATATGTAAGAAAGAGTCATCTTTAGGCTGGTTGACTACAGGCTGGCACCATGAAAAGGGGGGCATACCTTTTTCAGTTGAAACTTTCAGAAAGTTCATTCTCTGCTGAACAAGACCTGCAAGGGACTTATCAAGTTGATTCAAGTTGTATTCGTTGGTAAACATCTCTATCACAAAAGCAACTAGGTGGCAGGAGTTCTCTTCGCACTCCCAATACTTCTTGGCAAGATCAGCAAACCTGGATAGCATTTCTGTTTTACCTTTTTTTATGCAATATTTAAGGACATTATTCACAAAACATGGGTCATGTTCATCACTGTCAAATGGCATACCCCTGTCATCACATTCTTCTTCCGAAATAGAACCATTGTTGTCAAAAGAAAGTTCCCAGATATCATAATAATCGTCTACTTGGTCATAGCAAATGCTAAGAATCTTATCATCTACCTTGTGTCCATATCTTTGAAGGCAATTGATTAGCCTTTTTTGGTAAAGAAAATCAGTACAGCCTGTAAGGTTTTTCCAGACAGATTCAGGGACATTTTGTGTGGAAGAGATGCCAAAACTGAATATATTGTGAAAAAACCAGTAGAAGTTGTTGAAATGGTCACTGTTCACTGTTATTTTCTCGATAAGAAAGTCGAATACTTTCCCCTTGTCTGCTTGAGGAATAAGGTTGACACACTTTATAACCTCTTTGCACTGATAAGCCCGACACTTCTTAAACAACAACATCACCGGTTTCTCCGCCTTCTCCCATCCAAATGTGTCAACAACCTTTGCAATTATCTTGTAGGCAAACTTCATATCCTCTTTTAGTGGAATACCAGCATTATTTTTCCGAGAACAGATTCGTATCATGTCAAGACAGCTGAGCCAGCTCTTGTTTCTTATACACAAACTAATCATCCTATATTTTATCCCACAAGACTCCCGGGATAGTTTGTTTCGCAGTTTCACAATCACTGATTTCTCCATCTCACGGAGTTGCTCTTCACTTAAGAGGGACACGTCAGCACCCTCTAAATATTCCATTGCACACTCGACGCTTTGTTCTAGCTTATATGAAAAACATCTTGTTATTGACAGGACCACAATCACATCCTTATGCTGATAAGACTCATATAGAGCTATTTCTCTATCTGGGTTTTTCGGAGAATGCCCAGAGCACCCAACATCCACCACTGGTCCCCAATCCTTAATAGCAGCAAATTGTTCAACATATTCTATGCTCAGTCCATCAATAGTAAGTGATTTTGCACTAGATGTGTTCTGATTCAATGGTTTAAAGTCACATATCTTGTATGATATTTCAGTAGAGCGGTTTCCGTCCACCAAAAAGCAGTTTTCTTTAGATATATCTGGTTTGGCCTGACCCATCATCTCAGCAAGCAGCACACGATTGTTTTCTAAGCATTTGCCTTTTTCAATGACCGTCTTCCTCAGGCTGGTAAGATATACCTCCACCTGACCTAAGTCTGAATACGAAATTCCTTCAAGGATGCAATTTACGAGATGCTTGTCACCAGAGTCATTAAACTTCAATATGTCATCTACCTTACCCCTATAAATACTATTCAAGGGCCAGAACACAACTTTGTCTTTCTCACACAGATACTTCAAGTAACTTCCAATGGATATTTTCTGTTTGATAGCTGGATGGAGTCGTTTATCTATTCCACCTGCAGCATAGAGAGAATAATCTAGGGTAACTTTATATCCTGTTGTAATAGAAGCTTCTGAAACTGTAGCTGCTCCAATACCTGCATAATAAAAGCAGGTTTGTTGGTTAAGAGATGGATCAAATGATAATGAACACTTCTCAACTTCATGTTCTACTTTCATTTTCCCTCCTGAATAGACGGATGGAAGCTGGATGCACAGAGTTCCAAATTGGTACATATCACCATTAATGCATGAATAGTTATTGAGGTAAAGTGGTTTGTGAACTCTTGTATCAGTATGAGGTCCTCGAATTGTCAGTCCAGTAGATAGACAACTTTGTCGAAGGAAAGAGAAACATCCAACTTTTCGAAAGATGTGTTTTTTCTGTAAAACATCTACCTTGCTCTCAAAAGAAGCATCTCCAAAAGACAGTTTTGAGACATCAATAAAAATTGAATTGGAGTTTTGGTCACAGTCGAAATGTTTAGCCAATTCTTGAAAAAGCACTCCAGTAACAGGAAGAGGTAAAATTCCAAATCCAGTAATTTTAATTAAAGGCTGATTAGGAAATGACTCAACTGAACCACTGTCAGCAAAGATCAATGGTCTCGTTTCACCGGAAAACTCATCACCGGAAGACTCATCACCGGAAAACTCATCATTAAGATTAATTGGTGATGTTACAATAGAATTGACACAAGATTTAAGAAGTGAGATTGCATCACTGACACTTTTTGGGCCCTGGTTGTTGCGTTGGTGCTTCCTGTGGTGCTCATTGCTTCCTTCTGGGGGTCTTTTTCTGCTATTCTGGGGGTTTTGACCAGAACCAAGTGACATGATACAGCTATCCACTGACCAACCTAATAGGCTTTTAATTTAATAGATGATTTCACAATATATCAATAAATCACTGACTTGAAATATATAAACACTGTTCTGTTCTAGGTGCAAGTAAATTAGTTATGTACAAAGTACAATATAACGATCATAAAAAATAAAACAAGATTAAATTGTGAGTAGTTGTCATTGAAAATTGAAACTTATAGAAGAAAACTTATAATTTAATGTTATCATTTATCAATCTATAATATTGTTATCTATGTTAACCAACGATGGACACAAACATTTTAAAAGTGCTAACATTTCGGAAAGATTCAAAGAATCACCAATACATTTCATCCGTTTAGTACCATTGGTTTGACTGTGATCCTTTGAACAGACAGTCACATTAAATGATGGCTTCAGTGGCAAATTATCACAGAAAGGATTAGAACCAATAAATAGTTTGGATAAATTGTTCATGTTTTTCACAACTGATTTTATTTCCTCAAAATCTGAAATTTTATTACCAT